GCGGTATATTATTCAGTCAAAACACGAAGTAAATTAAGTTATCAGATTGTTGGCATAAAGATAAGTCCAAACTTATACCAAATTTATAGAAGGTAACTTTTACTTTTGTAAAGTACAAACAACTATAACTCTGCAATACCACATTGCTAATTCACAAAATGCAATTTGGACTAAAATATTCAATGTGCAATCATAAACTGGGGTTGAGCATTTTGATTTCCAATTTTGAATGCAATTTTACCAAATAATTTTCCAAATGTTGTAAACAAACCTTAGCGTTATAAGTCACATATATATTTGACGGTCTTATATACAGATATAGCAACAGCTGATTAATGAAATTGCCGATGGAGAGGCTAAGTGATGTTATGCTTGACATAATATCGAAGGGACCTTAAGCCATATTATAGCTTTTCAATTAATCGAGGCTGATATTAGTCATAATAATTATAATGATATAATCTGGTCTATCATGCAATCGTTTTTCCTTTTTAGTTAGAGGGTTCTTCTCACAGTGGTGGGAAAGTTCAAACGAGACGGTTAGTAGCTAATTATCTACATAGGGTTATAGTCATACACTGCGTCCAAAAATTATATGCAAATATATTTTTTTAAAATAACATTAGCAAGTTTAGGCCTATGGAAATGAAATTTGGTATACAATATTGAAACGTTAGTTCTTTCTGTCTAGTGAAATGTTTTCCTTTTTTGAATATTACCGAAAGAAAAATCGCCTTTTTTACAAATTGAGGTATCATCAAATGTCCATTATTTATATGTAACTATATTCCACCCTTGAAAATTTTAAATTGTTGAGCTAAGAACAAAATAAAAAGGCTGAAAATGTGAGAAAACAATATTTTATTAACGTTTTTGGTAAATACGCAACAATTTCGCTCATTCTCTTCATAAGAGATGGCGATTTCACAGCTAATACTTAATATAAGCACCATGATTAGCCACAACAGCAATTAGCCTTCGATCCATTGAAGAAGTAAGTTTTAAAACCTCATCAGCTGAGATATCCTTTGCTGTGGCTTGGACGGCATTCCAAAGTTCTTGTTTTGAATTGAACTGCTTTCCAGCCGCGTAAACCTTGCGCTTGATAATGCTCCACATATTCTCGATCGGATTAAGATCAGGGGAGTATGGAGGCCATTCCATGATTGTAGCGTTTTTGACCAAAGATTTCTTCAAGAAATCCAATGTTAGACGTGCTGCATGTGACGGTGCATTATCTTGCATGAATATCATTCTCCTCCTGAATGACAAACTTTTCTTTTTATACCAAGGCAGAAGAAACTCTTTTAAAAAAGCAGTATACGTGTCTGCAGTGATTTTCACCCCTTCTTTAACTTTAAAAGGACCAACTATTTCATTATGGATGATACCTGCCCAGAACATAATTCCACCACCACCTTGCTGACGTCGTAATCTTTGAGGAGCAGTTGACTGTGCATCATACCATCCTCTACTCCAACCATCCGGACCATCGAGGGTTGCCCTGCATTCATCGGTGAACAATACGTTCTCAAAATTCACTTTCATGTTATTTTCTGCCCACTTTTAGTCTCTTTTGACGATGAACGCTCTTCAAAGGAGGTCTAGTCACAGGTTTTCCACATTTGCTTATGCGCTTCAGGATGAGACATCTTGTACTTTTGGGTGTATGTGGTAAACCAACTGCCTCAAAAATTTCTTTGCTAGTTTGGAGAGGGTTGCGGCGAATCTCTCTTTTTAAACGCTTGACCATTCGGGGACTTACAACTGAGCTCCTCCGAGATTTACCTTTGTCTGACCTTCCATTAAAAGATTCTGGGTTTGCAACAAATTTTTTTATCGTTCGATGGTCACGACTAAGTTTTTTCGCTATTTGGAGGGTTGTTTGTTTCGCATGAAGGCCCTGAATTATTGCTGCTTTTTCATTGTCAGTCAAAGTGACTTTTCTGCCCATGTTGCATAAAAATATTGGACAATCCCTGAATGTTAAAAGTTGAAAATTGCTATCATTTGTTTACTAGTGCGCAGAACTGCACGACATTTCAGATGTGCGCAGATGTCAGTGTTGCCACTTTGCACACAAAATTCTGTAAATTTCTTCTCAATACTGCCCTAGATATTTTAGAAAAATATATATGCATATAATTTTTGGACGCAGTGTAGTGTATAGAGTCACTTTGTACTTGCGGCTAAAGGAATGAATCCAGTCCAGGCTGTGATTGTCTGGCTTATCTATAGTCTGAATTTGAAAGGACAAGTATTTAGTATTTGTAAGCATGCAGCGATAAAATAAATTCAACCTTTGTCGGTAGTCCGTTCACAACATCTTAAACTCCCTATTGTTGGGATGGCTACACACTAAGGAAATTATGCACAAAGTATTCGCAACTGGTTTGTCATAAGACGAAATTCAAAACCAAAATTTCGGTGTAAAATGTAAGTAATTTTTATTTATTTTTGTCAAGAAATTTTGCGGGGCATTTGAAAATTCGGAATAATAAAATGTTGTGCCATTTTCCCCTGTTATTTGATTAGATTGTTGACTCACTCAAATAGTAAATCAGATTGGCTATTGTGGTGCAGAGCTTCAATGTTATTGGCTTATAATTAAATGACGTGAATAATCAGCTTTTATTTATAGTAATAATATTTACTCTATTAATAGTTACACTAGTTTTAACCAGTCAAGTTGCGAGAAACACCATTGATTTCAAAATGAATATAATAAAAAAGAGGATAGGAGTAAATTAACTCATCAGAGTGTCAACATAATGGTAGCATCATAATTCGTAAGCACTTCATTGGCAAGTGCAATATTATCTCCGATTTCAACGGGGGGAGGTATTTTTTTTAGAACTCGGGTGAGTAGGGAGAGAGAATATTTGTTTTAGTTTTGAATAAAATTTGCTATCCCAATAAAACATTAATGATCTAAATAAGTTGACTAGTAACGCTACTGGATCCAGAGGGCATAGTCAGTTGGAAAGGATAAAAGTCTGATTTTAAGATATTCATACCATTTTCGCACTCCGGCACTAAAGCCCGTTCTCCACTAGGCGAATTTATTCGCACAACGCGAATTAAGGGATATCTAAAATCCGGTGATGTGATTGGTTTGCGAAAAAATTCGACGCGAAAAAATAGAATCGCTTGCTACTTTTTATCTCTTTGTGCGAATAGATTCGCCATGACCGTAGCTAGACCGCTTAATTTTGGGGAGGGGGGAGTATATTCATGTATTCATGTTTAGATACCGTCAAAACAATAGCGTACCAAAGAAATCAGTCGGGCATGAGACGAAGTGACTGTACACCTTCCCAATTAAGCTTCTAGCTACGGCCCTGAAGTTCGACAAGTGGAAAACGGGCTTAAGTCTGTGTTATTACCACTTGTTTCCGCATGGATCTCGACCACGGTGGTTCCTACGCTCATTAAAGTCAATTTTTTGGCAAACGTGTTGTTTTCGTCATCTCCAAGTAGTTCGATTCCATGATCATCTGGTGTAAGTTAAGACCCTTTCAAGCAGCTTCCTTGTCATTTATTAACTTTTTCACGGCACAACTCTAAAGGCCGATTTCCACTTACAACGAAATCATTCGCTAGTGAAATATTAGCATATTTTATTTTGAATTTAAACAGCATAGATAAATTAGTGCAACTTGAGTGTTCTCAATTCAAAAGAAAATATGCAAATATTTCGCCAGCGAACGATTTCGCTGTAAGTGGAAATCCGCCTTAATACTGTCCGGGCGACGATTAAAGATTAAATAAATGGGGGATGGGGAAACAAATATATTTGCATGACAATCGCCATGCAAGTTCCAACTAAATTGTAGAATGATCTAATTGCTCGATGAAACATATCATTACCCGTTTGATAAAACGTGTTTTCCCGCAGAATATATAATCTTACGTGTATTCCCAAATGAGTTGATTGAATGATTGGAATGTTACAAAGTTTTCTTTGAGTTTTCTTTTACAAAGATTTCTTTAAGTTTTCTTCTCCAATGAATGTTTAAAAAAAATACTCTAAAAAAAGTACAATTATTGCCGGTAAATCTATTTCGAGTTAAGTTGAAAGCTTTTCCAAAAAAAGTATTTCGAGTTAAAGTGAAAGCTTTTCCTGTGCAGATAACAACATGCTTTCTCGAAACTTTCTGTTTATTTCGTGGTCCTGTCGGTCTGAATGAATTTTGTAAAACTACAGCCGGTTACTGTGTCCATTAAATAATTAAATCTATATGCGTTCATCGTTTGTTAACGTTCACATAAATAATATAAATTATTTGAAATACACTTCAGCGTGTATAAAACGGAGAGGAGAGACTCTTTAAACCTAAGTTGTATACGAAATGAGTTTACTTGCAAACTGTCATTCATGCATGCATGTTTGCATGTTGTGTAAGTCAATTTAGGGAAAACGTTTTTATCGTATTAAATAGCTAAAACGGAAAACGGACGTTGAAATTAGGATATTATACACAAAGCATTCCAAAGTTTGCATCTTCCCGTACGAACTGTGTATCAGTTCAAACTAAAATCACGATAAACATCACAAAATATAACCATTGTTAATAAACAACCAATATAGAAGTAATACGGGAAGCTTTTGCAAATTAACATGTTCTACATGGCAGGTTTTTAAATTTATGACGGAAATAGCAGCAATAATTAAAACCGCAGGTAAGCGCTAATACTCGAGAAATTACAAAAGCAACGCATTCCTGTGAACAATGCTCTCTTGAATATGAATATAACACAGTTTGTAATCAGAGAGAAATATTCCTTCGTTTGCAAACAGTTTGCATGTGCCGCTATATTGCCAGTTATTGCATGGTGATCTACGTTTCAATAAAAACAATCCGCGTAGAGATTGAGGTGAATCAATCGGTAGATTATTTTACCGAGAACAAAGAAAGTTATTTAAATGTACCGCAGTTTAGGTTCAGTGAGTTTTGCGTGACTGGGGGTATATTATTGAGTGAAAACAAGAATTAAATTAAGACATCAGAGTGTCAGCATAAAGATAGCATCGTAGTTTATATCCACAGTAAAACCAGTGCGAAAGGAAAAAAATAGAAGGTAACTTTTACTTTTGTATGGTATAAAGTACAAACAACTATTACTCTGCAAAAAACTTATACCACAGTGCTCATTGATAGAAATGCAAATAAATTTGGACTAAAATAGTCAAATTTGCATCGTGTAATCATAAACCCAGGTTGAGCATTCCGATTTGAATGCAATTTTATTAATAATTTTCCAAAGGTTGTAAACCAACCTTAGCGTAATAAGCCACATATATATTTGACGGTGTTATATACAGATATAGCAACAGCTGATGAATGAAATTGCCGATGTAGAAGCTAAGCGATGTTATGCTTGACATAATATTGAATGCCTCAAGCCATATTATAGTTTCTCAATTATTCGAGGCTGACATTAGTTATAATATAATAATGTAATCCGGTGTATCAATCGTTTTTCCTTTTTAGTAAGAGGGTTCTTCTCGCCGTGGGGCGAAAGTCCAAACGAGACGGTTAGTAATTATCTTCTAGGATAGAGTTATAGTGCGTGTAAACGGTCACTTTGTTAGTCAAGTAAATGCCATTCCTGTGAGTGCTTTGAAATGTATTCAACCAATTGCAAATTTGAGCACTTTATTTATCGATAAGCAATTTGTAGTGGTGACGACTCTACAGGCTTAAAAGCGTAATCATTACGTAACTTTTTTTCGTAATCATTACGTAATTTCCAAAAAGTATAAAATCCAATTCATATAGCGCGATAAACATTTAAATTTTGTTTGGAGCGTGCTTCCCCAAAAAAAAATTTTTCAAGACCAAAAGTGCCCTTTTTGTTTACTACGTACTTACACATGCCCAAATCTTTTTGTAAATATACTCCTTGCAACTTTGGCTATCAAACTGTCCCAATACATATTTCTATTAACCTAAAGTGGTGTCCCCTCCATCTCTGGATGCTTCCTACGCCTTTGTATATTCTGTTACGTATTGCTGTTAACTCCCTATTGTTGGGATGACTACATGTACACGACTAAGGACATTCACAACTAGTTTGTCATAAGCCAGAAGTCAAACTCAAAATTACAATTAAAATCACCCGTGAGTGTTTTTAAAGCCCCATTCACACTGCGCACAATTTAAGTTTTGGTACTGATTAAATTAGTTCCGATAAAAATTGAACCATCAATTTTAAGTACTTCAAATGTCATCAATGTCAATTTTATTTGTAGCAAAATTGAGAATGAACTTATAAAAGTTGAGTGAAAATACGAGTGAAACTTTATGCTGTAACTGTAACTACTTTTAGAATTTTATCGGTACAATTTTCCCCCTACCATTACATGTATGTCATTTCAAACTTTAAATAATAATTGTCAGTAAATTATCAATATGAAATTCATCCGAAAATAAATATTGAAGAAAAGAACATATTCTAGATGCCAAAATTTAATTGCACCACAATTATAAAACCACGGGTGGCCAGTTTGTGTTCGAGAAGATACCAATACCGATCTACAAAGCACGCAGATAATATTGTGATATACTTTCTAAAAAAATCGTGTAGCGATGGAAATACAGATTCGCAGATTTGATCGAAGACAAGTGAAATTGCTCTAACTAAGCTGCAGTTCAGGTTCACAGAGTTTGCCATATTTGGCGGTATATTATTGATTCAAAAAAGCAATGGAATAGATTAACTCATCAGGGTGTCAACATAATTATTACTCCGGCGTCAGCGACGGAGTTGAAAAATTTGCCTCGGGTTTTTTTCTAAATATTTTTCGTCGTCGCGAGCATGTCTTGGCGCGAAATTTAATAGTATTTGAAATGTGTATGTGACCGTATTTATCTACCTCACAAATTTGTCTCCCAAGGTTGTGGTGCGCAGCTTTAGCTAATTTTCCGATGCGCGATTTGATTTCGCTCGCATGATATGGCAATTCCTTCAAGAGGAACAAATAAACCGTTCTTTTCATGCTGTTCGATTAAGTTTAGATTTAATTGGTGTCAGAATATATTTAATACATGTAAATTCTGGTCCCATTTTAATAATATTGCTGCCATTTCGCCGTTTAACACGATGAGGATATTGAACGGATAACTTTCAATTAGCTGAAGCTGGCATCACTCATAATATAATACTCGAACTCGAAATTAATATATCTAGGTACAGGGTGTATACTAAAACAATTAGACAACTCGCCTTCGTTGACTATGAGCGAATAGTCAACTCAGATTTCACCTTCGTTGACTATTCGCTCATAGACAACTCGGACTCGTTGTCTAATTGTTAAATAGAAACATGCAAAATGTTTTCTATTTCTTAATTATTACACGTTATGAGGTAATAGCTTGGCGTGTCATTTCGTCACGCGTGGACAAGACGATTTTACACGTGACTATTACCTAATCAGAGGCTTTAAACAAATCACCAGTTCTTTTTTTTTTTCCACGTTTATTTGCGAACCTAAACTCATAGATCAGCTTCATATGCTTTGTTTTCAAAAGCATAAAATTAATGAAGCCGTAATGATGTTGATCGATGATAGGAATTCTATACTTCGTCTTGGACATCTAAATATAACATTGAAATAATTACAGCTTTAGTGCAAGTATTTATTCCCCCCTTATTTTAATTTTTAGAGATGTCGCTTTCAAAGGTCACTCAATTGCTCTTTTGTCTAGCGTTTACTTTAGGTAAGTTGCTCATTATCCGCGACCTTTAAAATTGCCCGTTTGACTTATCAATAATTATACTGGATTAGCATAGGTGATCAAGCGATGGCGAGTACAATTCGGGCGTAATCGTAAGAATGCTGTTTAAACGTTTTGCCAAAATTGGACGAGCTGCCGGGGCGAGTTTATTCGAAAAGTTTTGCACCGATCGCCTCTGTTGCTATGGTAACAATTGGATTAAAACATGTTGTCTCTTAGCACATTTTTTCGAAACGAATTTTATCTATTTTTAACAAAATAATTAAAATGTGACCAATTTCGTTGTTTTGCAAAAAATATGGGCTAACGGTCCCTCAAATCTTGGAATACTACGGATATATATGATACGTGTGGGATCCCGCATGTGGGCCGTTCGTCAACATATCAGGATATGAAAATATAACAAGACGAAGCGAGGAACTAAGAGCAAAGAAATCCGTTCTTATTACACGATATCAATTATACATGATAGAAATCAGAAATCTTGTTTTCTTCTTTTACAGGCACCACTACGTCAACGAATAATACAGGTAATATATTTATCGTTATATACTTATTGTTGAATATTCGAAATCATCACGTGATGCATATCAGTATACGTCAGGAAATTTGTAAAATAGGAATTAAGAAGTCAAATATTCTTTGGTACATATTTCTTTATGTCGGTGAGCTGGCTATCTAGCCAATTTTTACAACAAGCAAATTTGCGTTTGAGTGGGTTTGGGCGACTCTTAATAGACCTTTCCCCTTTTAGCACTAGGCGCGCTAAGCATGACGGTAGGAGTATGCAAAGTTGCTTTCGAACGAAATGGCTGCCGTATGTGCGGTGAATTTCGTGCGAGAGAAGAATCGGCGGATTTTTAACATCATTTCGTGTCCATCGATATTTGTTTTCTTTGGAAAATTGCGAGAAGGTTCGTCACTACAAAACACCGAAATTTCATGACGATCTGGGCGTTAATGGCGATAAAAATCCGTCGAGAAGATGCCAAGTTGTGAACAATCTTCGCTCAAATTTGCTTGCGAAAAGTTGACTAACGTGTACTGAAACAGGTGAGTTCGCTTTTCAACTTGCGATCGGCTGATTATTTTTACAAAATAAGCGTAACTGATTGTGTTTCTTTTTGGATCTCAGCAGTATTTTACTTTTATTCTTGTGCAAATATCGTTTTTAGCTTCCAGAAATTGGCATATGTTGCCAAGATTTTGTTCGAATTTGCCACTAAGCTGCCCTTGGCCCTCGGAAATGTTTTTAGCTTGTTTTGGCGCGAAAATACCCGTATTTAAACCTAGTAGCCCAAAGGTAATTTGTGTTTTAATCTAAAGCGTCCATCCAGTTTACTATCGCGGTCTGTGACGTAAACACCAATTGGTATAATTGTATTATAAGAAGATAAGGTTGGCAACTAAATATAAATTAACGACGTACACTCTCAAAACTATCGAAAAAAAACATTGAAAATATGCAACATAACTCACAAAAAACATCATAACAATAAAATTTGATGTTTTTAATTGCTCCCCAGTACATTTTCTTGTTGAAAACAACTCTAGAAATACGAAAAATTTAGCGACACTTTTCGTATTGCCATGAATTTTTTCGCCGTAACGATGCGGGATGTCTTTTGCCTAGCACTGGTTTTCGATTCAAATGGCGAAGCAGCGACCTCATTGGCTCTTAAAATTGGCGAACACCAATTTAATTATTCGCCAATTTTAAGAGCCAATGAGGTCGCTGCTTCGCCATTTGAATGGAAAACCAGCGCTAGGGAAAAGACATCCCGCATCGTTACGGCGAAAAAATTCATAGCAACACGAAAAGTTTATACTAACAGATACGACGCCTTCTTATACATCAAGTCGAGGTAAAATCAATATCTAAGATATGAACTTATCGATGAAATTTAAGACCACACTTATTTGGTCTGAACTGATTTCAAACGCTTGCAGTATATACCGATTCCAAGAATATACGTGCGCTTCGAATCGCTGTTAATTTACTTACCTGGCAGCGATAAGCAACGGATAATAAACCTAATAGTCTTCGACCCGACCTAGGTGAGCTAAGGCACTTTTGTATTTGAGTTACGTAAGTTGACATTTCAATGAGCCGATCGACGTCCACAGCGGGTCGCATGAGGGACATAATTGAATTGATGTAATTTATTCATATAGGGGACAATTTAGCTGTTATTGTTCGCTGGGTTAATTGAGACATTCGCTAACATGTAACAATATGTATTATCTATATTACTATTACCGGCGTTTCAAAGGAGCTAAGAGTAAGAAAAATATTTCGATATAAATTTAGTTACGTAACTAGAACGAAATTTATGGGGTCAGTATTCATTATTCTATTTAATTCTTGCGGACGGATTATACTCTTGCCAGTGTAATAGCATAAAATACAGCTCCGTCGGGTAGAACTAAATATATGAATATTTACTTCCCCTACGCCGCTGCATAAATGACATAAAAAACGGGGGAATTTCGTTTTTTCTTTTACAGGCACCATTCCATCCACTACTAATCCAGGTAATAAATAATTGGTACTCAATGTTGATGTTTCACTGCCCAGCCGCGGATATCCGACAAATAGCAGATTTTTCACTCGTTCTAAATTATTCTTGTTTGTTAATTCTTAAAATTTTATTAATTTTTTAAGCATTTTTGCGCTGCTTAAAAAGGCCAAATAGTCAACTGGTAGACAGGGCCACGGAAGATCGGTAACTTGAGGGAAAATATTTATATATCGTAAAAAAAATCAATTTCATAAGAAACTAACATTGCCAAACGCGAATATATGAACAGTTTTACTAAGTTTAATACGATCTTTCAAAAAAAGTGGAAATAATTCAAAAGCGGAAATTGTCCATAGTTGACACATTTTTGTCAGCAGTTCTTCGCTTAGGTTTGATATCTTTTTGACTTCCTCGAAATTAAAACAAAAACTAACCCTTAGCATGATTGTCACAAGATTCGCAAAAAATGTAAAATTTCCAGTCGCAGCTATATTTTAATAGGATACAATATAGAAGACTAATATAATATATATTATATTAATTTATTTCTTCACAGCAACGTACAGGACACCACCTTTTACGACATCAGCGCCAGGTAACAGTACCATTAGTAATTATTAATGATGAATATTTGAAAACGGGGCTTTTGAATTATGTTTCCATTTTTGCATTGAGGAATAAGAAACTAATAATGCCGAACGGGAAAATATGAATAATTGCCCTTCATGCACCCTGAACTAATGCGTTTCTGCCCCTATAGGTCTAGGCTACATAAGTTTGAAAATGCATGTTTCTATCAACTATTCTAATAAAAAAAATCGCCGATAAATTCTGCTTTTTTTTATCTTTCAATATTTTTGTGTAAATAATCTTTCTAGATTTATGTGGCGAAAGACAATTGTATCCTCCGGGAAAACTCACAAGCCCTCTTTATCCTCATCCATACCCTAATCGCATTGATTGCAGTTGGACTATTTCCAGCACCAATGGAAGAAATATTTTACTAGAGTTTACATCATTCTTGGTAGGCTTCTTTGATTTAAAATATCGCTTCTCCGCGGCCTTGCATGTTTTGGTGAAAAATACCTTAGCGACGTAACATATTTTTATACGGCATATATGCATCTTCTTATCGTTTTTTTTTCCCGAAAGTCTGCTTACGTGTCAACTAGTGTCTCGTTCCTCTTTCCCCGCTTAGTCGTTAACTGTGTTCAAATTCTTGTACGTTTGCATAGTGACATCATGTAAATATGTTTATATCCATAATCTTTTCCTAAAAATCGATCTTCATTCATTAAAGGCGTTTTTGCGACGTTTCCCCATTTTGGATTATCAATGTAATTAACTTTCAAGTTTTGTCGAGCTAGATATGTTAATTCCGTCGCAATTCAATATAAAATTAAAAGGTTTAAATAATACAAAGATCAGAGGCGTCGCTAGCTTGATAAGTGGGGGTTGGGGAACATATTCACGTATTCGTTTTTCAAATGACTAAATCATCTCTTCTTAAATTGATTGTTTTTACAGTCAGTCAACATCAATATATCAAATCAAAAATACTCCTTGTGTATAGGTTTCCCAGTGTCGCGAAGATCAATTATTTGCCTATTCTTTGGGGCTGTAATGTAAAATAATTTTACTTTAATGGTCCAGATTTTTTTATAAAAACTCTTTTTTCTTTTCGAAAAGGGAAACATTTTTTAACATCCAAGAACAGTTCAATATGAAAAAAATTCCTTTTATTCTTGCTAATCATTTACTTTTTATTAATCGAAGCGAAATCTTTATCAAGAAATATGAGACCGAGGTCTTTTTGAACGGACTGGGCTCGAAGACCGAGGTTTGTTCAAAAATATCGAAGACCGATACTTCTCGCGGTAAAGACCGAGCTAGCGAGGTTAATAAAATATTTATTATACGGCATAAGGCATAATAAAATTATTTGCACCTGAAACAAACAAGAAATGCATGAATTCAAATTATTAGCCTGGTACGCAGTGATAAAAACAGAAACAAAATATTGAATTTTTTAGTTTACATAAACTCGGCCTAAACTGTCTGGTGTAAGTTGTTCGAAAGTCGTTTAGCTTAAGCGGCGTATAAGTTCGAAATGGAAAACAAAATTATCTTTTTGTTAGACAATTGAGCGGAAACATTTCTATATAAAAAGCTTAATTTTGAATGGAAGTAATTTTTTCTCCGTTAATCACTTAACACCATTTCACCGGAAGTAACGATTGCAATATAATCATTCGATGAGAACAGGCAGCATATCCGGAATGAATCAGAACGAGATCGATGTCAGGATATCTTGGATAACTTGCGAAAGCGGAATTCAGTCATTGTTTTATTATTCATTGAAATTTGAGAAAAAACAAGCATATTCATTGTAAATTTTATTGTGTATAAAAGAGATAAAAAGCTCGTAAATTTACGATACCGGTATAAAACGGTGGGCGCGACCAATACTCTCCACAGATAACAAATGAGAAAAATAGCGCGAGCACAGTCGCAAATCTTAAATTATCCATACATTTTCAGCTAATCAAAGACGATTACACTATCAAATGAATAACAGTAATCTTTCATCGAATGAACTTTAATTATTAATATCTTTGTTTTGATTTTATACAAAACATTATTTTCTATTTATGTCTTTAGAAATCCTTAGGATAATATAGTTTCAAGCTTTAAACAGTTTGAAATCAATTTAATCGCATGTGCAAAATTGACAAAAAATTTACACAAATTGCATAACATTTTAGCTGGAAAGTGGTTCCAGTTGTGGATATGACTATTTGGAAATTTATGATGGAAATTCAACGTCAGCGAAAAGACTGGGCAGATTCTGTGGACAGCAATTACCAAGAAATCTGGTATCATCTGGACCCAAATTGTTCACGGTGTTTCATACGGATGGCTCAGTGGCATACCCTGGTTTTGTTTTGAACTATTCAACTCCATATGGTAACATGTAACTAAAAATAACTTTATGGAAGAATCTTGCGCGAGCATGCTCACTAAGCCCGGAATAGTTAAATAAATGTGTCGCTGAGAGATTGTTAATTGAGATCGGTCAAAAAAATGTCAGAGGAAAAAAAGCATCCTCAGAAAGCGAAAAGAATTTATTCCTATAACTATAGGCGAAGAGGAATTTCTGACACAAACCGCTATAAATTATTCTCTAATCATTTCATTTTAGATATAGACGAATGTAAACTTGGATTTCACAACTGCAGTTTTGAAAAATCATGTATAAATACTAACGGATCATTTTATTGCGTTTGTATCATCGGTTATGCAGGCATGGGAGAAGCATGCACAGGTATATCTTTATCGCTTAAATATAGCTGCATTGCAGGGTATATAATTTATATAGGACAAGAGGATATCAACTTGCTTACTGTGCACTGCACGTGGCTTCTTTCTTTACTGTATAGAGGTTATAATGGAATACGCGGCTTTAGTTTACGATTTAAGGCTGAGTTTTTGCGAACAATAGTTATGCCAAATGGAAAACTCATTAAAAGTATGGGCAAGTCTGTTGTATTAAATTTGAACTGATCAACTTTAAGATAAGTTCAGCACGGAAATTATTTTGTTAGCGGACGAATACGTGAAAACATATATTAATTAGCGATTAAAAACTTTCTGGAGCGGTGATAATCATAGGTCAATCTTTTCAAAATTAACCTACGTTTATAATTATCATCTTTTCGACCATGGATATACCGTTACTATATGAACCTTTCGAATATAAATTCAGAAAAGATTGACATCTCTATATAGCCTCGCCCATATACTGTAAAATATTTTAATCATACAAAAAGAATGCAAAAGGTATGTGAAGTTAAACGTTAGCAGAGAAACACGCTTTAATGTGCAGAGTGTTTGATGTTCATGGAAATAGCACTCGTAGTGAATAATCATGACATAAAATATTGATGAAGTTGCATTTAGAGTGACTTTACAAACCATTCTTAACAAGTTGATGACATGAACTCTGGGGATGTAAGGAATGTCAAAACCAGACACCCATGCAAGCTAATTAACTAGAAACTAGTGGTACCTTATACCCGAACTGTTGCCGACTTATTTCAAATTATCTTCAAATTATCATTCAGATGTGGACGAATGTGAACTTGAAATTGACAACTGCGATAGTCATGCATCGTGTGTTAATACCAATGGTTCCTTCAATTGTCTTTGCAACTTTGGTTACGTTGGAGATGGAGTGACATGTACGGCATATTTTTGACATCCAAAACATTTTTTAATACATCCATTACCTTCTTTAATTAAGAATAATTCTGTTGGACCTAGTTGATAATTGTTTGATCGCATCTCGAAAGGTGAAACACAATTGTTTTTGCGATGGTCTTAATTACTGTTGTTACTCTCGTTTATAGGTCAAAACATTACGATATGCCCGAAAAAGGTTGACCTCGGATTTATGTTGGACAGTTCTGGTAGTATCGGGTCATCTAATTTTGATAAAACAAAATCTTTTATAAAAGATATTACTGATTATTTCAACATTTCGCCAAACAACACAAGAGTGGCAGTTATGTCTTACGCGACACTTTCCACTGTGCACTTTTCATTTTCTCGAAAGTTTGTCTCCCGACAAGATCTTCACTCAACAATAGACAGCATTCCGTACAGTGGAGGAGGTACTAACACCGCTCAAGCATTGATCAAAGCTTATGCAGAAATGTTCAATGACTCTCAAGTTACAGGTATGAAATTGGGATTAATTATACAAATGTCAAATATTGAAGGGAAATAATTTATCGTTCTACCGACGTATTCATACTTATATCATGCATTCTGATTGTGTTACTGGAAATGTAAACTTGCTACATTAGTGCCGTTATTTGTAATATATTTTAGGAGTAAAGAAAGTTTTGATAGTTTTTACTGATGGTCAAAGCAGTGCAAATGTTTATCATCCAGCGCAACAACTTAAAAACATTGGCGTCATCATATTTTCCATTGGAATTGGCTCAGGAATTAATGTTTTGGAACTGAGAACAATGGCTTCTGCTCCTGCAGATGATCATGTTTTCCTGTTGAATAACTTCAATGAATTCTCGTCCTTGGTTCAGAATCTGTCATTCTCTGTTTGCAATGGTATGGTTTAGAGATTATTTAATTACCACAATTTTTTATTACCATTCCTGTGGTTACTTAATGAAAGAGAATAAATTGAATATAATATTTACTGTGCGAATTGATAAAAACCGAGCGTTGTGTAAAAAGTGCGAAGTCTAAAACAGATAATGCATGCATTTAATAAGGCCTTAGGTACATTTCGCATTGCCAAAAATCGGGCGTAGAATAATCGATGAAATATAACGATTAAATATTCACCACGTTTTAATACGATACCTAAAGAAGGAAATACGCCCCCAATTTCTCTACGATATATGACTGCAGATGTGTAAAAAAGGCTTATATAGCAGAATATTCATTGTCGAGTATGGTGGTAAAATGCATGTCGAAAAGATTGTATATACAACCTAACATTATTAATTAGGTATAATTATAGTTACCATTTTTTGTCCCGTTTTAAAATTTATTTGCAGCCAGTTACATATAGAGCGCAAAACAAAAGACTATCCGTGGTTCGTGCATGGGGCTCGAAGGTCAGAAAACTGTTACGAATTTGTAAAAATTTCAGTTATTTTATTTTCTTTAAAGGCAACGCGACAAGACCTTCTAATACATCTAATCCAGGTAAAATATTCAATCTTTTTTTGAAATTTGAACTGAGCGGCCAACTTCGAATTTTTAGCTTTTAAAAATGGTCTTCTTTGTATATTATGCTTTTAAGTCGTTTCACTTGTTTGGCAAATTAACAGCTGACAAAAATTAAACGGTGATTATAATCTTTGAGAATGTGCAGAAATATTTTTCTTATTAACAGATACGACGCCTTCTCATACATCAAGTCGAGGTAAAATTAATCTCTAAGATATGAACTGCATGATCAATAAAATTTTAGGCCACACTTACTTGGTTTTAACTGATTTCAAACGCTTGCTGTGTATACCGATTCCAAGAATAAAAGTGCGTCTTGAGTCGCCGTAAAATTATTTACCTGACAGCGATAAGCCAAGGATAATAAATCTAAGAGTCTTCAACCCGACATAGATGCACTAAGGCACTTGTGTATTTGAGTTTTGTAAGTTGACATTTCAATGACCTGGACGACGTCAGCAGCGGGTCGTATGAGCGACATAATTGAAATGAAGTAATTTATTCGTATAGGGAGCAGTTTAGCTGTTAAGGCAGGCGCACACTAGAGCTACATGCTTAGCAAAAAGTCATTCGTGGCCATTGGCGTAAGCCAGTTGATCTCGTGTGCGGGCGACTTTTCCGGCGTCTTTGGTCATTCGTGCCACTTACGGCAAATATCTAGCATGTTTGATAATCTCTGCCTCACGTGCCGAAATTTTTCCGCGTGCGGCAAACTGAAAGCTATCTGCTTATGGATTGTCTTAACAGCGCATGCGTAATATACGAAAGTATACATCCAAGATGGCGGACAGATTGCAAAAACAAAATTATGGATGGAAGTGAAGACGAAGAGGTGTTGTTATTTTTGTTGCTGTTTCGTCGGACTATAGATTAAACACCGTTATCCAAGTGCTATTAATTATATTACCTGTTTGAGAAAGCTTACTAGCTATTTCTGCAATAGCGGATTCCCGTTTCTCTCTGTTTCTATTCACATCGTATAAACACTTGTAATCTGGCCAAAGATCAACCATTTTGTCATCCAATATGGTCTCAGCCACCAATTCGTTTTGCTTTGTTTGCACCGCTATCTTGGATGTCTACTTTCGTATATTACATATGCGCTGTTAAAACAATCCATTTCAGTTTTCCGCACACGGAAAGATTTCGGCACGCGAGGCAGAAATTATCAAACGTGCTAGATATTTGCCGTAAGTGGCACGAATGACCAAAGTCGCCGGAAAAGTCGCCCGCACACGAGAGCAACTGGCTTACGCCAATGGCCACGAACGACTTTTTGCTAAGCACATAGCTCTAGTGTGCGCCGGCCTTTAAAGTGCGCTGGGTTATTTGAGCCATTGGTTAACATGTAACCATATCTATATTACTATTACTGGGGTTTCAAGGAGCTAAAAATAAGAAAAATATTTCGACATAACTTTAGTAGCTTAACTAGAACGAAATTTCGGGGCTGAGTATTCATTATTTAATTCTGGCGGACGGATTACACTTGCAAGTGCAATAGCTTAAGATACAGCTCTGTCGGGTAGAACTAAATATATGAATAATCACCTGCACTACTCCGCTGCATAATGACACAAAATAAAATACGGAGAAATTTCGTTTTCTCTTTTACAGGCACCATTCCACCCACTACTAATCCAGGTAATAAATAATTGGTACTCAATGTTGATGTTTCACTGTCCAGCGGCGTTTATCCGACGAATAGCGCTATCCACCGAGCTGGTTTTTCAATCGAAGCATTTTTTCTCTGCTTGAAAAAGTCAATAATTATCGAAAACACATGGGCCACGGAAGATCGTTAGCTGGAGAGCAAATATCTATATATCGTAAAAACAATCAATTTCATAAGAAACTAATTTTGCCAAACGTGAATATATGAATAATTGCCCTCCCCGACAATAGCAATCTTCCACGGCCCCTGTCTGTGGAAAGGGCTATCAAGCCTTCGTAGATGCATGCAATTCGCCCCAGGCCTTAGCTAATAAAGGTTTAAACATCTTCTCATTAACCATTCCTAAAAGTTATTGTTCGTTAGATCTTTAAACATATGATTGGTATGAACAGTTTTACTAAGTTTAATAAGCCCTTTCAGAAAATGTAGAAATTTGTCAAAAGCGGAAAGTTTCTCGCTTGAATTTGATATCTTTATGATTTCCTCGAAATTAAGACAAAAATTAACCCTTAGAAAGATTGTAACCAGACCCACAAAAAAACAATAGTTTCCATTCGCAGCTAAAATAAAATAGTATATATATCAAAGAATATAAATTGAAGAAAAAGATTAATTATACTAATTTGTTTCTCCACAGCGACCTACAGGACAGTACCCTTTACCACATTAGCGCCAGGTAACAGAACGCATTAGTTAATATTAATTATGCATATTTGAAAACAGGTCTTTGGCATTGCGTTTCCATTTTTGCATTGAGGTTTAAGAAAGTAATATTGTCGAACGTGAATAATATGAATAATTGTCCCCCCCCGAATTAATGCTCTTCCGCCGCTATACGTCTGGGCTAATTAAGTTTGAACATGTTTCTATCAACCATTCTAATAAAAAATAATCGCCGATAAATTTCACTTTTCTTTATCTTTCAATATTTTTGTGTGAATAATCTTTCCAGATTTATGTGGGGAAAGTCAACTGTATCCTCCAGGGAAACTCACAAGCCCTCTTTATCCTCTTCCATACCCTAATGGCATGGTTTGCAGTTGGACTATTTCCAGCACCAATGGAAGAAATATTTTACTACAGTTTACATCATTCTCGGTAGGCTATTTTGATTTAAAATATCGTTCCTCCGGCCCTGTTTGAGCGAAAAAAACCTTAGCGACATAACAAAGTCATGTTTTTATACCTAATAACTGCATCGTCTTAACGTTTTTATTCCGAAAGACTGCTCACGCGTCAGCTAGTGTATCGTTCCGCTTTTCCAGCTAATCAAAGACGATTACACTATCAAATGAATAATAGTAATCTTTCATTGACTGAACTTTAATTATTAATATGTTTGTTCTGATTTTATACAAAACAACATTTTCTATTTATGTCTTTAGAAATTCTTAGAATAATATAGTTTCAAGCTTAAAAAATTTGAAATCAATTTTATTCGCAGTGCAAAATTGAGAAATAATTTATACAAATTGCATAACGTTTTAGCTGGAAAGTGGTTCTAGTTGTAAATATGACTATTTGGAAGTGTATAATGGAAATTCAACGTCAGCGAAAAGGCTGGGCAGATTCTGTGGACAGCAATTACCCAGAAATCTGGTATCATCTGGACCCAAATTGTTCACGGTGTTTCATACGGATGGCTCAGTGGCATTCCCTGGTTTTGTTTTGAACTATTCGACTCCTTATGGTAAGTTGTAACTAAAAATAACTTTATAGAAGAATCTTGCGCGAGCAAGCTGACTAAGGCCGAAATAGTTAAAAAATGTCCCGCTGGGAGATTGTTAATTGAGATCGGTCAAAAAAATGTCAGAGGAATTTCTGACACAAACCGCTATATAAATTATTCTAATCATTTCATTTTAGATATAGACGAATGTAAACTTGGATTTCACAACTGCAGTTTTGAAAAATCATGTATAAATACTAACGGATCATTTTATTGCGTTTGTATCATCGGTTATACAGGCACAGGAGAAGTGTGCACAGGTATATATTTATCGCTTATTGTAGCTGCATTGCTTGGTATATGATTATATAGCACAATAGGATATTAATATTCTTGCTGTGCACTGCACGTCGCTTCTTTCTTTACTGTATAGAGGTTATAATGGAATACGCGGCTTTAGTTTACGAATTAGGGCTGAGTTTTTGCGAACAATAGTTATGCCAAATGGAAAACCCATTAAAAGTATGGGCAAGTCTGTTGTATTAAATTTGAACTGTTCAATTTTAAGATAATTACAGAACGGAAATTATTTTGTTAGCGGAAGAATACGTGAAACATACATTAATTAGCGATTAAAAACTTTCTGGAGCGGTGATAATCATAGGTCAATCTTTCCAAAATTAACCTACGTTTATAATCATCATCTTTTCGACCATGGATATACCGTTACTATATGAACCTTTCGAATATAAATTCAGAAAAGATTGACATCTCTATATAGCCTCGCCCATATACTGTAAAATATTTTAATCATACAAAAAGAATGCAAAAGGTATGTGAAGTTAAACGTTAGCAGAGAAACACGCCTTAATGTGCAGAGTGTTTGATGTTCATGGAAATAGCACTCGTATAGTGAATAATGACATAAAATATTTATGAAGTTGCATTTAGAGTGACTTTACAAACCATTCTTAACAAGTTGATGACATGAACTCTGGGGAAGTAAGGAATGTCAAAACCAGACACCCATGCAAGCTAATTAACTAGAAACTAGTGGTACCTTATACCCGAACTGTTGCCGACTTATTTCAAAATTATCTTCAAATTATCATTCAGATGTGGACGAATGTGAACTTGAAATTGACAACTGCGATAGTCATGCATCGTGTGTTAATACCAATGGTTCCTTCAATTGTCTTTGCAACTTTGGTTACGTTGGAGATGGAGTGACATGTACGGCATTTTTGACATCCAAAACATTTTTTAATACATCCATTACCTTCTTTAATTAAGAATAATTCTGTTGGACCTAGTTGATAATTGTTTGATCGCATCTCGAAAGGTGAAACACAATTGTTTTTGCGATGGTCTTAATTAATGTTGTTACTCTCGTTTATAGGTCAAAACATTACGATATGCCCGAAAAAGGTTGACCTCGGATTTATGTTGGACAGTTCTGGTAGTATCGGGTCATCTAATTTTGATAAAACAAAATCTTTTATCAAAGATATTACTGATTATTTCAACATTTCGCCAAACAACACAAGAGTGGCAGTTATGTCTTACGCGACACTTTCCACTGTGCACTTTTCATTTTCTCGAAAGTTTGTCTCCCGACAAGATCTTCACTCAACAATAGACAGCATTCCGTACAGTGGAGGAGGTACTAACACCGCTCAAGCATTGATCAAAGCTTATGCAGAAATGTTCAATGACTCTTCAAGTTACAGGTATGAAATTAAGATTAATTATACTAATTTAGGCCAAGGTCAAATATTGAAAGGAAATAATTTATCGTTCTACCGACGTATTCATACTTATATTATGCATTCTGATTGTGTTACTGGAAATGTAAACTTTATACATCAGTGTCGTTATTTGTAATGTATTTTAGGAGTAAAGAAAGTTTTGATAGTTTTTACTGATGGTCGAAGCAGTGCAAATGTTTATCAACCTGCCCAACAACTTAAAAACATTGGCGTCATCATATTTTCCATTGGAATTGGCTCAGGAATTAATGTTTTGGAACTGAAAACAATGGCTTCTGCTCCTGCAGATGATCATGTTTTCCTGTTGAATAACTTCAATGAATTCTCGTCCTTGGTTCAGAATCTGTCATTCTCTGTTTGCAATGGTATGGTTTAGAGATTATTTAATTACCACAATTTTTTATTACCATTCCTGTGGTTACTTAATGAAAGAGAATAAATTGAATATAATATTTACTGTGCGAATTGATAAAAACCGAGCGTTGTGTAAAAAGTGCGAAGTCTAAAACAGATAATGCATGCATTCAATAAGGCCTTAGGTACATTTCGCATTGCCAAAAATCGGGCGTAGAATAATCGATGAAATATAACGATTAAATATTCACCACGTTTTAATACGATACCTAAAGAAGGAAATACGCCACATTTCTCTACGATATATGACTGCAGATGTGTAAAAAAGGGCTTATATAGCAGAATGTTCATTGTCGAGTATGGTGGTAAAATATGCATGTCGAAAAGATTGTATATACAACCTAACATTATTAATTAGGTATAATTATATAGTTACCATTTTTTGTCCCGTTTTAAAATTTATTTGCAGCCAGTTACATATAGAGCGCAAAACAAAAAACTATCCGTGGTTCGTGCATGGGGCTCGAAGGTCAGAAAACTGTTACGAATTTGTAAAAATTTCAGTTATTTATTTTCTTTAAAGGCAAAGCGACAAGACCTTCTAATACATCTAATCCAGGTAAAAATATCTCAATCTTTTTTTGAAATTTGAACTGAGCGGCCAACTTCGAATTTTTAGTTTTTAAAAATGGTCTTCTTTGTATATTATGCTTTTAAGTCGTTTCACTTGTTTGGCAAATTAACAGCTGACAAAAATTAAACGGTGATTATAATCTTTGAGAATGTGCAGAAATATTTTTCTTATTAACAGATACGACGCCTTCTCATACATCAAGTCGAGGTAAAATTAATATCTAAGATATGAACTGCATGATCAATAAAATTTTAGGCCACACTTACTTGGTTTTAACTGATTTCAAACGCTTGCTGTGTATACCGATTCCAAGAATAAAAGTGCGTCTTGAGTCGCCGTAAAATTATTTACCTGGCAGCGATAAGCCAAGGATAATAAATCTAATAGTCTTCAACCCGACCTAGATGCACTAAGGCACTTGTGTATTTGAGTTTTGTAAGTTGACATTTCAATGACCTGGTCGACGTCAGCAGCGGGTCGTATGAGCGACATAATTGAAATGAAGTAATTTATTCGTATAGGGAGCAGTTTAGCTGTTAAGGCAGGCGCACACTAGAGCTATGTGCTTAGCAAAAAGTCATTCGTGGCCATTGGCGTAAGCCAGTTGATATATACGATCTCGTGTGCGGGCGACTTTTCCGGCGACTTTGGTCATTCGTGCCACTTACGGCAAATATCTAGCATGTTTGATAATCTCTGCCTCACGTGCCGAAATTTTTCCGCGTGCGGCAAACTGAAAGCTATCTGCTTATGGATTGTCTTAACAGCGCATGCGTAATATACGAAAGTATACATCCAAGATGGCGGACAGATTGCAAAAACAAAATTATGGATGGAAGTGAAGACGAAGAGGTGTTGTTATATTTGTTGCTGTTTTGTCGGACTATAGATTAAACACCGTTATCCAAGTGCTATTAATTATATTACCTGTTTGAGAAAGCTTACTAGCTATTTCTGCAATAGCGCATTCCCGTTTCTCTCTGTTTCTATTCACATCGTATAAACACTTGTAATCTGGCCAAAGATCAACCATTTTGTCATCCAATATGGTCTCAGCCACCAATTCGTTTTGCTTTGTTTGCACCGCTATCTTGGATGTCTACTTTCGTATATTACGTATGCGCTGTTAAAACAATCCATTTCAGTTTTCCGCACACGGAAAGATTTCGGCACGCGAGGCAGAAATTATCAAACGTGCTAGATATTTGCCGTAAGTGGCACGAATGACCAAAGTCGCCGGAAAAGTCGCCCGCACACGAGAGCAACTGGCTTACGCCAATGGCCACGAACGACTTTTTGCTAAGCACATAGCTCTAGTGTGCGCCGGCCTTTAAAGTGCGCTGGGTTATTTGAGCCATTGGTTAACATGTAACCATATCTATATTACTATTACTGGGGTTTCAAGGAGCTAAAAATAAGAAAAATATTTCGACATAACTTTAGTAGCTTAACTAGAACGAAATTTCGGGGCTGAGTATTCATTATTTAATTCTGGCGGACGGATTACACTTGCAAGTGCAATAGCTTAAGATACAGCTCTGTCGGGTAGAACTAAATATATGAATAATCACCTGCACTACTCCGCTGCATAATGACACAAAATAAAATACGGAGAAATTTCGTTTTCTCTTTTACAGGCACCATTCCACCCACTACTAATCCAGGTAATAAATAATTGGTACTCAATGTTGATGTTTCACTGTCCAGCGGCGTTTATCCGACGAATAGCGCTATCCACCGAACAGCTGGTTTTTCAATCGAAGCATTTTTTCTCTGCTTGAAAAAGTCAATAATTATCGAAAACACATGGGCCACGGAAGATCGTTAGCTGGAGAGCAAATATCTATATATCGTAAAAACAATCAATTTCATAAGAAACTAATTTTGCCAAACGTGAATATATGAATAATTGCCCTCCCCGACAATAGCAATCTTCCACGGCCCCTGTCTGTGGAAAGGGCTATCAAGCCTTCGTAGATGCATGCAATTCGCCCCAGGCCTTAGCTAATAAAGGTTTAAACATCTTCTCATTAACCATTCCTAACAAGTTATTGTTCGTTAGATCTTTAAACATATGATTGGTATGAACAGTTTTACTAAGTTTAATAAGCCCTTTCAGAAAATGTAGAAATTTGTCAAAAGCGGAAAGTTTCTCGCTTGAATTTGATATCTTTATGATTTCCTCGAAATTAAGACAAAAATTAACCCTTAGAAAGATTGTAACCAGACCCACAAAAAAACAATAGTTTCCATTCGCAGCTAAAATAAAATAGTATATATAATATCAAAGAATATAAATTGAAGAAAAAGATTAATTATACTAATTTGTTTCTCCACAGCGACCTACAGGACAGTACCCTTTACCACATTAGCGCCAGGTAACAGAACGCATTAGTTAATATTAATTATGCATATTTGAAAACAGGTCTTTGGCATTGCGTTTCCATTTTTGCATTGAGGTTTAAGAAAGTAATATTGTCGAACGTGAATAATATGAATAATTGTCCCCACCCCGAATTAATGCTCTTCCGCCGCTATACGTCTGGGCTAATTAAGTTTGAACATGTTTCTATCAACCATTCTAATAAAAAATAATCGCCGATAAATTTCACTTTTCTTTATCTTTCAATATTTTTGTGTGAATAATCTTTCCAGATTTATGTGGGGAAAGTCAACTGTATCCTCCAGGGAAACTCACAAGCCCTCTTTATCCTCTTCCATACCCTAATGGCATGGTTTGCAGTTGGACTATTTCCAGCACCAATGGAAGAAATATTTTACTACAGTTTACATCATTCTCGGTAGGCTATTTTGATTTAAAATATCGTTCCTCCGGCCCTGTTTGAGCGAAAAAAACCTTAGCGACATAACAAAGTCATGTTTTTATACCTAATAACTGCATCGTCTTAACGTTTTTATTCCGAAAGACTGCTCACGCGTCAGCTAGTGTATCGTTCCGCTTTTCCAGCTAATCAAAGACGATTACACTATCAAATGAATAATAGTAATCTTTCATTGACTGAACTTTAATTATTAATATGTTTGTTCTGATTTTATACAAAACAACATTTTCTATTTATGTCTTTAGAAATTCTTAGAATAATATAGTTTCAAGCTTAAAAAATTTGAAATCAATTTTATTCGCAGTGCAAAATTGAGAAATAATTTATACAAATTGCATAACGTTTTAGCTGGAAAGTGGTTCTAGTTGTAAATATGACTATTTGGAAGTGTATAATGGAAATTCAACGTCAGCGAAAAGGCTGGGCAGATTCTGTGGACAGCAATTACCCAGAAATCTGGTATCATCTGGACCCAAATTGTTCACGGTGTTTCATACGGATGGCTCAGTGGCATTCCCTGGTTTTGTTTTGAACTATTCGACTCCTTATGGTAAGTTGTAACTAAAAATAACTTTATAGAAGAATCTTGCGCGAGCAAGCTGACTAAGGCCGAAATAGTTAAAAAATGTCCCGCTGGGAGATTGTTAATTGAGATCGGTCAAAAAAATGTCAGAGGAATTTCTGACACAAACCGCTATATAAATTATTATCTAATCATTTCATTTTAGATATAGACGAATGTAAACTTGGATTTCACAACTGCAGTTTTGAAAATCATGTATAAATACTAACGGATCATTTTATTGCGTTTGTATCATCGGTTATACAGGCACAGGAGAAGTTGCACAGGTATATATTTATCGCTTATTGTAGCTGCATTGCTTGGTATATGATTATATAGCACAATAGGATATTAATATTCTTGCTGTGCACTGCACGTGGCTCTTTCTTTACTGTATAGAGGTTATAATGGAATACGCGGCTTTAGTTTACGAATTAGGGCTGAGTTTTTGCGAACAATAGTTATGCCAAATGGAAAACTCATTAAAAGTATGGGCAAGTCTGTTGTATTAAATTTCAACTGTTCAATTTTAAGATAAGTTCAGAAGGAAATTATTTTGTCAGCGGAAGAAATACGTGAAAACTATATTAATTAGCGATTTAAAACTTTCTGGGAGCGGTGATAATCATAGGTCATCTTTCCAAAATTAACCTACGTTTATATATCATCATCTTTTCGACGATGGATTTACCGTTACTATATGAACCTTTCGAATATAAATTCAGAAAAGATTGACATAATCTCTATATAGCCTCGCCCATATACTGTAAAATATTTTAATCATACAAAAAGAATGCAAAAGGTATGTGAAGTTAAACGTTAGCAGAGAAACACGCCTTAATGTGCAGAGTGTTTGATGTTCATGGAAATAGCACTCGTATAGTGAATAATGACATATAAATATTTATGAAGTTGCATTTAGAGTGACTTTACAAACCATTCTTAACAAGTTGATGACATGAACTCTGGGGAAGTAAGGAATGTCAAAACCAGACACCCATGCAAGCTAATTAACTAGAAACTAGTGGTACTTATACCCGAACTGTTGCCGACTTATTCAAAATTATCTTCAAATTATCATTCAGATGTGGACGAATGTGAACTTGAAATTGACAACTGCGATAGTCATGCATCGTGTGTTAATACCAATGGTTCCTTCAATTGTCTTTGCAACTTTGGTTACGTTGGAGATGGAGTGACATGTACGGCATATTTTTGACATCCAAAACATTTTTAATACATCCATTACCTTCTTTAATTAAGAATAATTCTGTTGGACCTAGTTGATAATTGTTTGATCGCATCTCGAAAGGTGAAACACAATTGTTTTTGCGATGGTCTTAATTAATGTTGTTACTCTCGTTTATAGGTCAAAACATTACGATATGCCCGAAAAAGGTTGACCTCGGATTTATGTTGGACAGTTCTGGTAGTATCGGGTCATCTAATTTTGATAAAACAAAATCTTTTATCAAAGATATTACTGATTATTTCAACATTTCGCCAAACAACACAAGAGTGGCAGTTATGTCTTACGCGACACTTTCCACTGTGCACTTTTCATTTTCTCGAAAGTTTGTCTCCCGACAAGATCTTCACTCAACAATAGACAGCATTCCGTACAGTGGAGGAGGTACTAACACCGCTCAAGCATTGATCAAAGCTTATGCAGAAATGTTCAATGACTCTCAAGTTACAGGTATGAAATTAAGATTAATTATACTAATTTAGGCCAAGGTCAAATATTGAAAGGAAATAATTTATCGTTCTACCGACGTATTCATACTTATATTATGCATTCTGATTGTGTTACTGGAAATGTAAACTTTACATCAGTGTCGTTATTTGTAATGTATTTTAGGAGTAAAGAAAGTTTTGATAGTTTTTACTGATGGTCGAAGCAGTGCAAATGTTTATCAACCTGCCCAACAACTTAAAAACATTGGCGTCATCATATTTTCCATTGGAATTGGCTCAGGAATTAATGTTTTGGAACTGAAAACAATGGCTTCTGCTCCTGCAGATGATCATGTTTTCCTGTTGAATAACTTCAATGAATTCTCGTCCTTGGTTCAGAATCTGTCATTCTCTGTTTGCAATGGTATGGTTTAGAGATTATTTAATTACCACAATTTTTTATTACCATTCCTGTGGTTACTTAATGAAAGAGAATAAATTGAATATAATATTTACTGTGCGAATTGATAAAAACCGAGCGTTGTGTAAAAAGTGCGAAGTCTAAAACAGATAATGCATGCATTCAATAAGGCCTTAGGTACATTTCGCATTGCCAAAAATCGGGCGTAGAATAATCGATGAAATATAACGATTAAATATTCACCACGTTTTAATACGATACCTAAAGAAGGAAATACGCCACATTTCTCTACGATATATGACTGCAGATGTGTAAAAAAGGGCTTATATAGCAGAATGTTCATTGTCGAGTATGGTGGTAAAATATGCATGTCGAAAAGATTGTATATACAACCTAACATTATTAATTAGGTATAATTATATAGTTACCATTTTTTGTCCCGTTTTAAAATTTATTTGCAGCCAGTTACATATAGAGCGCAAAACAAAAAACTATCCGTGGTTCGTGCATGGGGCTCGAAGGTCAGAAAACTGTTACGAATTTGTAAAAATTTCAGTTATTTTATTTTCTTTAAAGGCAAAGCGACAAGACCTTCTAATACATCTAATCCAGGTAAAATATTCAATCTTTTTTTGAAATTTGAACTGAGCGGCCAACTTCGAATTTTTAGTTTTTAAAAATGGTCTTCTTTGTATATTATGCTTTTAAGTCGTTTCACTTGTTTGGCAAATTAACAGCTGACAAAAATTAAACGGTGATTATAATCTTTGAGAATGTGCAGAAATATTTTTCTTATTAACAGATACGACGCCTTCTCATACATCAAGTCGAGGTAAAATTAATATCTAAGATATGAACTGCATGATCAATAAAATTTTAGGCCACACTTACTTGGTTTTAACTGATTTCAAACGCTTGCTGTGTATACCGATTCCAAGAATAAAAGTGCGTCTTGAGTCGCCGTAAAATTATTTACCTGGCAGCGATAAGCCAAGGATAATAAATCTAATAGTCTTCAACCCGACCTAGATGCACTAAGGCACTTGTGTATTTGAGTTTTGTAAGTTGACATTTCAATGACCTGGTCGACGTCAGCAGCGGGTCGTATGAGCGACATAATTGAAATGAAGTAATTTATTCGTATAGGGAGCAGTTTAGCTGTTAAGGCAGGCGCACACTAGAGCTATGTGCTTAGCAAAAAGTCATTCGTGGCCATTGGCGTAAGCCAGTTGATATATACGATCTCGTGTGCGGGCGACTTTTCCGGCGACTTTGGTCATTCGTGCCACTTACGGCAAATATCTAGCATGTTTGATAATCTCTGCCTCACGTGCCGAAATTTTTCCGCGTGCGGCAAACTGAAAGCTATCTGCTTATGGATTGTCTTAACAGCGCATGCGTAATATACGAAAGTATACATCCAAGATGGCGGACAGATTGCAAAAACAAAATTATGGATGGAAGTGAAGACGAAGAGGTGTTGTTATATTTGTTGCTGTTTTGTCGGACTATAGATTAAACACCGTTATCCAAGTGCTATTAATTATATTACCTGTTTGAGAAAGCTTACTAGCTATTTCTGCAATAGCGCATTCCCGTTTCTCTCTGTTTCTATTCACATCGTATAAACACTTGTAATCTGGCCAAAGATCAACCATTTTGTCATCCAATATGGTCTCAGCCACCAATTCGTTTTGCTTTGTTTGCACCGCTATCTTGGATGTCTACTTTCGTATATTACATATGCGCTGTTAAAACAATCCATTTCAGTTTTCCGCACACGGAAAGATTTCGGCACGCGAGGCAGAAATTATCAAACGTGCTAGATATTTGCCGTAAGTGGCACGAATGACCAAAGTCGCCGGAAAAGTCGCCCGCACACGAGAGCAACTGGCTTACGCCAATGGCCACGAACGACTTTTTGCTAAGCACATAGCTCTAGTGTGCGCCGGCCTTTAAAGTGCGCTGGGTTATTTGAGCCATTGGTTAACATGTAACCATATCTATATTACTATTACTGGGGTTTCAAGGAGCTAAAAATAAGAAAAATATTTCGACATAACTTTAGTAGCTTAACTAGAACGAAATTTCGGGGCTGAGTATTCATTATTCATTTCTGGCGGACGGATTACACTTGCAAGTGCAATAGCTTAAGATACAGCTCCGTCGGGTAGAACTAAATATATGAATAATCACCTGCACTACTCCGCTGCATAATGACACAAAATAAAATACGGAGAAATTTCGTTTTCTCTTTTACAGGCACCATTCCACCCACTACTAATCCAGGTAATAAATAATTGGTACTCAATGTTGATGTTTCACTGTCCAGCGGCGTTTATCCGACGAATAGCGCTCTCCACCGAATAGCTGGTTTTCAATCGAAGCATTTTTTCTCTGCTTGAAAAAGTCAATAATTATCGAAAACACATGGGCCACGGAAGATCGTTAGCTGGAGAGCAAATATCTATATATCGTAAAAACAATCAATTTCATAAGAAACTAATTTTGCCAAACGTGAATATATGAATAATTGCCCTCCCCGACAAAAGCAATCTTCCACGGCTCCTGTCTGTGGAAAGGGCTATCAAGCCTTCGTAGATGCATGCAATTCGCCCCAGGCCTTAGCTAATAAAGGTTTAAACATCTTCTCATTAACGATTCCTAAAAAGTTATTGTTCGTTAGATCTTTAAACATATGATTGGTATGAGCAGTTTTACTAAGTTTAATAAGCCCTTTCAGAAAATGTAGAAATTTATCAAAAGCGGAAAGTTTCTCGCTTGAATTTGATATCTTTATGATTTCCTCGAAATTAAGACAAAAATTAACCCTTAGAAAGATTGTAACCAGACCCACAAAAAAACAATAGCTTCCATTCGCAGCTAAAATAAAATAGTATATAATATCAAAGAATATAAATTGAAGAAAAAGATTAATTATACTAATTTGTTTCTCCACAGCGACCTACAGGACAGTACCCTTTACCACATTAGCGCCAGGTAAAAGAACGCATTAGTTAATATTAATTATGCATATTTGAAAACAGGTCTTTGGCATTGCGTTTCCATTTTTGCATTGAGGTTTAAGAAAGTAATATTGTCGAACGTGAATAATATGAATAATTGTCCCCACCCGAATTAATGCTCTTCCGCCGCTATAAGTCTGGGCTAATTAAGTTTGAACATGTTTCTATCAACCATTCTAATAAAAAATAATCGCCGATAAATTTCACTTTTCTTTATCTTTCAATATTTTTGTGTGAATAATCTTTCCAGATTTATGTGGGGAAAGTCAACTGTATCCTCCAGGGAAACTCACAAGCCCTCTTTATCCTCTTCCATACCCTAATGGCATGGTTTGCAGTTGGACTATTTCCAGCACCAATGGAAGAAATATTTTACTACAGTTTACATCATTCTCGGTAGGCTATTTTGATTTAAAATATCGTTCCTCCGGCCCTGTTTGAGCGAAAAAAACCTTAGCGACATAACAAAGTCATGTTTTTATACCTAATAACTGCATCGTCTTAACGTTTTTATTCCGAAAGACTGCTCACGCGTCAGCTAGTGTATCGTTCCGCTTTTCCAGCTAATCAAAGACGATTACACTATCAAATGAATAATAGTAATCTTTCATTGACTGAACTTTAATTATTAATATGTTTGTTCTGATTTTATACAAAACAACATTTTCTATTTATGTCTTTAGAAATTCTTAGAATAATATAGTTTCAAGCTTAAAAAATTTGAAATCAATTTTATTCGCAGTGCAAAATTGAGAAATAATTTATACAAATTGCATAACGTTTTAGCTGGAAAGTGGTTCTAGTTGTAAATATGACTATTTGGAAGTGTATAATGGAAATTCAACGTCAGCGAAAAGGCTGGGCAGATTCTGTGGACAGCAATTACCCAGAAATCTGGTATCATCTGGACCCAAATTGTTCACGGTGTTTCATACGGATGGCTCAGTGGCATTCCCTGGTTTTGTTTTGAACTATTCGACTCCTTATGGTAAGTTGTAACTAAAAATAACTTTATAGAAGAATCTTGCGCGAGCAAGCTGACTAAGGCCGAAATAGTTAAAAAATGTCCCGCTGGGAGATTGTTAATTGAGATCGGTCAAAAAAATGTCAGAGGAATTTCTGACACAAACCGCTATAAAAATTATTATCTAATCATTTCATTTTAGATATAGACGAATGTAAACTTGGATTTCACAACTGCAGTTTTGAAAAATCATGTATAAATACTAACGGATCATTTTATTGCGTTTGTATCATCGGTTATACAGGCACAGGAGAAGTGTGCACAGGTATATATTTATCGCTTATTGTAGCTGCATTGCTTGGTATATGATTATATAGCACAATAGGATATTAATATTCTTGCTGTGCACTGCACGTGGCTTCTTTCTTTACTGTATAGAGGTTATAATGGAATACGCGGCTTTAGTTTACGAATTAGGGCTGAGTTTTTGCGAACAATAGTTATGCCAAATGGAAAACTCATTAAAAGTATGGGCAAGTCTGTTGTATTAAATTTCAACTGTTCAATTTTAAGATAAGTTCAGAACGGAAATTATTTTGTCAGCGGAAGAATACGTGAAAACATATATTAATTAGCGATTTAAAACTTTCTGGAGCGGTGATAATCATAGGTCATCTTTCCAAAATTAACCTACGTTTATAATCATCATCTTTTCGACGATGGATTTACCGTTACTATATGAACCTTTCGAATATAAATTCAGAAAAGATTGACATAATCTCTATATAGCCTCGCCCATATACTGTAAAATATTTTAATCATACAAAAAGAATGCAAAAGGTATGTGAAGTTAAACGTTAGCAGAGAAACACGCCTTAATGTGCAGAGTGTTTGATGTTCATGGAAATAGCACTCGTATAGTGAATAATGACATAAAATATTTATGAAGTTGCATTTAGAGTGACTTTACAAACCATTCTTAACAAGTTGATGACATGAACTCTGGGGAAGTAAGGAATGTCAAAACCAGACACCCATGCAAGCTAATTAACTAGAAACTAGTGGTACCTTATACCCGAACTGTTGCCGACTTATTTCAAAATTATCTTCAAATTATCATTCAGATGTGGACGAATGTGAACTTGAAATTGACAACTGCGATAGTCATGCATCGTGTGTTAATATCAATGGTTCCTTCAATTGTCTTTGCAACTTTGGTTACGTTGGAGATGGAGTGACATGTACGGCATATTTTTGACATCCAAAACATTTTTTAATACATCCATTACCTTCTTTAATTAAGAATAATTCTGTTGGACCTAGTTGATAATTGTTTGATCGCATCTCGAAAGGTGAAACACAATTGTTTTTTGCGATGGTCTTAATTAATGTTGTTACTCTCGTTTATAGGTCAAAACATTACGATATGCCCGAAAAAGGTTGACCTCGGATTTATGTTGGACAGTTCTGGTAGTATCGGGTCATCTAATTTTGATAAAACAAAATCTTTTATCAAAGATATTACTGATTATTTCAACATTTCGCCAAACAACACAAGAGTGGCAGTTATGTCTTACGCGACACTTTCCACTGTGCACTTTTCATTTTCTCGAAAGTTTGTCTCCCGACAAGATCTTCACTCAACAATAGACAGCATTCCGTACAGTGGAGGAGGTACTAACACCGCTCAAGCATTGATCAAAGCTTATGCAGAAATGTTCAATGACTCTCAAGTTACAGGTATGAAATTAAGATTAATTATACTAATTTAGGCCAAGGTCAAATATTGAAAGGAAATAATTTATCGTTCTACCGACGTATTCATACTTATATTATGCATTCTGATTGTGTTACTGGAAATGTAAACTTTATACATCAGTGTCGTTATTTGTAATGTATTTTAGGAGTAAAGAAAGTTTTGATAGTTTTTACTGATGGTCGAAGCAGTGCAAATGTTTATCAACCTGCCCAACAACTTAAAAACATTGGCGTCATCATATTTTCCATTGGAATTGGCTCAGGAATTAATGTTTTGGAACTGAAAACAATGGCTTCTGCTCCTGCAGATGATCATGTTTTCCTGTTGAATAACTTCAATGAATTCTCGTCCTTGGTTCAGAATCTGTCATTCTCTGTTTGCAATGGTATGGTTTAGAGATTATTTAATTACCACAATTTTTTATTACCATTCCTGTGGTTACTTAATGAAAGAGAATAAATTGAATATAATATTTACTGTGCGAATTGATAAAAACCGAGCGTTGTGTAAAAAAGTCTAAAACAAATAAGGCTTTAGGTGCGTTTTGCACTGAAACGAATCGCATGTATAGTGAATCGATGAAATATAAAGATTAAAGATTGACCACTTTTCGCTACAATTCGGCTGCAGATGTGTAAAACAGGCCTTACTAGAAAAATATTCGTTGTCGAATATGCTGGTGAATATGCATGCATGTCGAAAAGATTGTACAACTAACAGTATTTATAGGTGAAAGTTGATATAAGTTTCACAGCTCTTTGTTTCTAGCTCAACATCATTTTGTTGGGCCTGGTTTGCCATTTCTTATCCCGTTTCAAAATCTATTTGCAGCCAGTCACATTTATGGCCCAATTCAAAAAAAGAACCCGTGGTTCGTGCATGGGGAGCGAAGGTCAGAAAACTGTTACCAATTTGTAAAAATGTGAGTTATTTTGTTTTCTTTATAGGCAACGCGACAAGACCTTCTAATTCATCTTACCCAGGTAAAATCATCAATCTTTTTCTTCAAAATTGAACTGAGCCAACTTAGAATTTTTAGCTTTTAAAAATGGTGTTCTTTGTATATTATACTGCTAAGTCGTTATCAGTGACCAAATCACAAACGCAAAAAAATAAATATAATATTGGCCAAAATAAGAGTAGTCTTTGGAAAGAAGTACAGCATTATTACAGCCTATTAATAGCTTAAATAATCACATGGTTTCTTGTTGCTAGGCGACAGATCATATGAATCAAAATTTTTTTGCAATAACCCGTGAAAATCATGGTTTATTCAAAAATGACAGACTGCAACGAAGTTTGCATCTTCAATGCAGCAATCAATGAACTTAGATTGTATATTAAAAGTGTTAGAGAGTTTATGTTCGTGTTTTGTTTACAAATAAACGCACTTGCTGACCATACAATGAACTCGAAATTCCAATATTACAATTTCTCGTTCATTGTATGGTCAGCGCGTGCGTTTATTTTTCAATATAGCTAAAACAATTAAAACAGTCTCTAACCTTAGATATCATATTTTAAAGTTCTAGAAATGCTGCAGCCCCTGGCATCTATTTGCTATAATTATACGAAACGCAAGAACTTAAATTTCCACTCAACTCACAAAACGTTTGAGTTTAGCTTTTACAAGAGAAAATTAAGGTGGCTCGCTACAGTTTTAAGAATATTGAAAACTAATTATTTAGATTGAAATTTTTGGCAGGAAATTTCTTGCTTAACGAAATGAAATTTTCCAGATATATTAGCCAACATTCTAACAGTCGAAAATTGTCTTTGAGTACCACGTCATTACCGTTGTTATGGTAACAATGGCGATTCAATATGGCTGTCATTTTACCTATTCATGCATTTTACTCGAAACAAGTTCGGTTACCCCAATTTTTTATTTTATAAAAAGTTTTCTTAAAAAAAAATGGGAAATTTGAGCAAGTTTAAAAAATTTCTATATAGCCAAAAAATTTCCATCACAAAAAATCACGTTTTTTCATTTTTTTATACTTTGGCTCTATAGATTTTTTTTTAACTGGTTCAAATTTTCTATTTTTTTGTAAGAAAACTTTTTATAAAATAAAAAATTGGGGTAACCGAACTTGTTTTCGAGTAAAATGCGTGAATAGGTAAAATGTCGGCCATGTTGAATCGTCATTGTTACCATAACAACGATAATGACGTCATGCTTATGGGCAATTTCTGACTGTTAGAATGTTGGTTAATATATCTGGGAAATTTCTTTTCCTTAGCAAGAAATCTCGTGCTAAAATTTCAAATCAAAACCACAAGTTTTCAATATTTCAAAAAATTGTAGGGAGCCACCTTAAACAACCCAATTTGTTATTTGCAATGAAATGTAAAAAAAAAGTAAATAATTATTAGCCTATTAATAGCCTAAATAACTAATTCAACTATTTCATCATTTTGTAGATATCAACGAATGCGAAACTAATCCTTGTGATGTAAATGCAAATTGTACCAATATACATGGCTCGTATGAATGTATCTGCCACAAGGGCTATGAAGGAAACGGCATAAATTGTACAGGTACAGTTTGGGACATATATAATGCTTTAAATTACTAAATATACATATATACCACTGTTGTAATGGTACCACAAGGATTTGATGAAACAACTCATTTTTTCAATTTGCCAGCAGAAAAACAAAAAGAATCGTTACCTGACTAAATAATAATAATTCTAATTGTCTTATGTTTTTTGAAGACGTCAATGAGTGCGAAGACAATCCTTGCGATGTAAATGCAAATTGCACCACTATTAATGGATATTATGAATGTAACTGTCACGAGGGATATGAAGGCAATGGCACCAGCTGTGCAGGTACATCATGCATAAAAGCGTGCAATTAGCCAGGTTTAGGGCTGCCAATTATATATTTATACATCGATCAGAGAAATGGCGAAAAATAAGACTATTCTATAGAATGCTTAACATGAAATGTGATATAACAACGTCCTAAAATTGGCAAAGCACTTCTCGACGTTTCAACCTTAAGGCCTTCGTACTAACTCTCCTGACGAAGTGCATCAGGTCGAAACGTCGAGAAGTGTTTCGTCTATTTTAAGCAGTTGTTATACCACATTTGATGCTAAGTTGTTTGAAGACGCTGCCACGCTACGCTACCACGCTGCTCTCTGGTTCACTAGTCTTTAGAAAGGTGCTGAGTAAAACACGATAAAGAAAGTGAAGGTGGAATATACCCGAATGTGGTATATTGCCGTAAGGTCGAATAAACTGGAATGTGGTATATTTGACTTCAGTAAGATCGAATATATCTTAATTTGCAAGTTCGAATATACCTTTATATGCATGGTATAATTCGACTTTCATATAAGGTCGAATATAGCGGAATTCGGTGTATTCGACATTCATAAGATCGAATAATATGAATATATAGCTATACCCCCTAGAAGTGCTGCATTATGGTTCAAAATATCGCATCAGTCAATGCTAAAATGCTGCATCTGCCCCCTGACATCAAAGATAAAAAATTAAGCAAATCAATTCATTATTGGCGCTGAAAGCTAAATTGACCGCGGAATTATATTAGCATGTTATTGGTCCGATTGATACTGTGGACGGATAATCCGTCTGGACGAATAATCTGTTTTACAGATCATTCGTCTGAGCATAAACATGCACGCGCGGCCCGACGAACTATCTGGATGAGCTACATAATTATACAGACAAATACGTTAAACGAAATAGAATCGCGCGTTAAGAAAGTGCACGGGAATTGGGTAATTATTTATGTGTTAAAAGGAGGGCGCAAGAGCCGTTTTATGCTGAAATTTTTGTGTTTCGTACCCTCCCCGTATGATGCGTCAAGACGAGCTACCCATTCAAATTCTTCTAAATCTTTGCTTGCCCCAGTTCGTCGGGCAAGTATTACCTGTTTCACCTTTTTGCAGATATCGACGAATGCGAAACAAATACTTGCGATGCAAATGCAAATTGTAAAAATGTAGATGGTTCGTATGAATGTACCTGTCACAAGGGCTATGAAGGAAACGGCATAAATTGTACAGGTACTGTTTGGGACATATTATGCGCTTAATTATTAAATATAGTTACATAATTATACAGTATACTATTGCATGTAATAATAGTGCCGAAAGTATTTTATAACACAACTTATTGTCTCAGTTCTAGCTGAAAAAAGGAAAGAATTGTTACATAATAGCAATTTTAACTGTCTTATGTTTTTGAAGACGTCAATGAATGCGAAGAAAATCCTTGCGATGTGAATGCAAATTGCACCACTATTAATGGATGGTATGAATGTAACTGTCACGAGGGATATGAAGGCAATGGCACCAGCTGTACAGGTACATCAAAGATGCATTTAACTAAACCACATCGATAGTTATACATCAATCACGGGCTTATCCAGATTCGCATCAGTCAAAAAATCACAAAAGCAAAAAAATAAATACAAGAATAGCAAAAAAAAGAGTAGTGGAAAGGTATACTGTGTAAAATACGATAAAAAATAGTGAAGGTCTGATATAGTATAATCAGTAAGGATCATCACACCTGATATTATATGGGAAGCCTCACTTTCGGTGAAATGGAGATCAGTGATTAGCTGAGAAGAATTTTCGAATTAGTCACCAAATGCTGCATTTATCCGCTTCTGACATCAAATTACTAATTTTTTACCGAACAATAGAACCTAAATTTTTACGCAATAAAGAGACAATACAATATTATTAGTTTATTAATAGCCTAAATAAACAAATTTAACTATTTCTCTTTTGGTAGATATCAATGAATGCGAAAGAAATCCTTGTGATGTAAATGCAACTTGTGTAAATGTAGATGGTTCGTATGAATGTACCTGCCACGAGGGCTATAAAGGAAACGGCAAAAATTGTACAGGTACAGTTTGGGGCATATTATTCTCTTAATTATGAAATATTATACACTTAGGGTACGCTACAGAGGGAAATAGTAAATTTTGTTTTTCAAAGAGTCTGAAACTCGAGGAAAAACAAAACTCATTATTTTCCGAAGGAGTCTACATTAAGTTCTTTGTTATAAAGGAACAAAAACATACATTTTACACAATAATTTTATTTCATATAAACACTTTACAATCAGCAAAGCCAATACAAACAATATAATTATTTGCTTTAAAATGTCATTTTTTGTAAGCGTTAAAGCCCCTTACAGACGAGCAGGTGTTCTATGACAAGTTTTAATTGTTCATCTGTACACCCAACTTTGACAATTTTTTTATGACAACTACACTTTTTCAAAATCAGGTATACTTGAACAAGTGCACTTGACATAGAAAAAATTGTGGAAGTACAAATTTCGCTCGTGTGTATGAGTCAACAAAGAAAACTTGTCAAAGTAACGTGAGCAATTGTATAGGTTAGGCCAGCAGACTATTGTATTCTGCAGTGGCAACTAGCATTTTACCAGTAGAAAAAAAGAGAAAATCGTTACCTGACGAAAACAATTTTAACTGTCTGATGTTTTTTAAAGATGTCAATGAGTGCGAAGACAATCCTTGCGATGTAAATGCAAATTGCACCATTATTAATAGTTGGTATGAATGTAACTGTCACGAGGGATATGAAGGCAATGGCACCAGCTGCACAGGTATATCAAATAAGCAATTAAATATGTTACTAAATCGATATTAATACATCAACCAGGGGCTTATCAAGATTCACAAAACATCACAAAAGCAAAAAAAATAAATAGGAAACAGGCCAAAATTAAGACAAGTATGGCTCATTATGTTTGAATATGGTAAATTATTAAAGTCCAATACATATACCGGAAATGTAGATTATTTCATGGTTGGCGATTGCGCACGATTTTTATGCACGAATTGTGAAAGTTCGTAAAACGAACGGGAGCGGGTAGCGAACAGGTGAGTTTGCTATCCTTCACAACGAGTGCATAATAATAATCGTACAATTTTCGTGGTTCAGATGATATCTCAAAGTGGTTGGCTCATTTTAACTTGCGATTCCTGCATGTGCGAATACTTGACCGATTTTAATAAATATTGAACCATTTAAGGAGAAATATCGAAATTTGATTTCTTTGTAATTTAGTTCAATAGAAGTTAAATGCTCTTTCCGAAAGACTTTATAATGTGTTAAATGTGAAAATGTCTTCAATTTGAAAATTATGACATAAAGATTTTGAGAGAATGACATGCATAAGACAATTTTTCACGTACGAAGAATATCGTACTTCCTTTTAAAAGCCGTGTATGGCATTTTTCACACGTGGAAGACATCGTACGTCCAGTCAAATTGCATGAAATTAATTTACACAGTGAAATACGATCATTCTACTGTGCATAAATTTCAATGCATAGTGCATTGGTAAGACAAAATATATTATATGCTGTGAGATGTCAGACCAAGGTTTTTGCATACTACAAAGCCTCGGATCTGCCTGATATTTCACAGTACAGACCTCATGCTCGGTAAATAATCAGTTAATATACTCCCTATAGGTGGCTCTCATGTGACGGCATCGTCGCCATGTTCGATGATTTTGACAAAGAATTTTACCTTTTTGCAATTCAAATGTCATCCAAATTCCAACATGGCGAAAATCTCTTTGTCTGATAAGTTTCTCGGGAATGGACGACTTGCGCTTTAGACTAATTTTTGATTGAAGTAACTAGAAGAAAATAAATCACCACAGCTAAAAAGATCTTACTTAAATTAGTGCAAATGCAACGTTTGGCTGCGAAGTTTTGTAAAATACGGAAAATATAGCCATGCGAAGTTGGCATATTTTGTATACTTTTGTATTACGTGCGGAAATGTGTAACTAAATTAGTTACAAACTCCCGGCCGTAATACAAAAGTATACAAAATTCGTCAACTTCGCATGGCTATATTTTCCGTAATTTACAAAAACTCCCAGGCAAACTTTGCAGTCTTAATAATTTTAGTAAGCTCTTTCAGAAAATATCCTTTTTATCGCCGATGTAAGAAATTAGTCTGTAAGAAAGCGCAAGTTGTCCATAGTTGCACATCACCTATAGAGGTGCTGCCGTATGCTTCAAAATATATCGCCTCATTAGCGAAAATGCTGCATTTATCCGCCCCTGACATCAATTTGGGATTTTTCTACCAGACACAAGAATTTAAATTTCTACTCAACTCGCAAAACGTCTTTTCGGTTTTAACGAGCGAAAATTAAACAACCCCATTTCTTATTTGCGCTGAAATCTAAAAAGGAAATACAGAATTATTATAGCCTATTTTAAAAAATCCTAAGTAACTAAATAAATTTAAATATTTCATCTTTTTGTAGATATCAATGAATGCGAAACAAATCCTTGTAATGTAAATGCAAATTGTACAAATGTAGATGGTTCGTATGAATGCACTTGCCTCGAGGGCTATGAAGGAAACGGAATAAATAATTGTACAGGTACAGTTTGTCAGTAAAAATCAGAATTCACAATAAAATTATTTAATAATTTTATACTATAGTTGCGTAATCTACAGGCAGTCTGTGTCAATATACAAAACTGATCTAAAATGCTCAATCTAGCTACCAACAGTGTGTGATTTAATTATCGTTCATTCCATTTTTAAACCAACACTACTGTACCACCTATTCTATTTGCCTTTAAATGCCTGGGAGAAAAAATGTACCATGAAAAAAAGTCCACCAGTTTTAAATGAGATCTGAAAAAAAAACCCCAAAGCTGCTTAAATCACTGGAGAGAAGTAAAAATATACCTTTATGAAAACAGAATTTATTACAACTAATAACTCTGAGAAAAACGCGCTTTCTTTCGATACATCACCAGTTCCTGGTGTCGTACTTGTTATTATATAGAACATAAATTTCTACTCAATTTACAAAACGCGTTAGTTCAGTTTTAACAAGCGAAAATTTAACAACCCAATTTGTTATTTGCGCTAAGGTAGTGAAATGCAAAGAGACAATAGAGAATTATTAGCCTATTAATAGTCTAAATAACCAAATCTATTTCATCTTTTTGTAGATATCAATGAATGCGAAGCAAATCCTTGTCATGTAAATGCAAATTGTACAAATGTAGATGGTTCGTATGAATGTACCTGCCACAAGGGCCATGAAGGAAACGGCATAAATTGTACAGGTACAGTTTGGGACATATAATGCTTTAAATTATTAAATACACATATATACCACTGTGGTAATGGTACCACAAGGATTTGATGAAAAAACTCATTTTTTCAATTTACCAGCAGAAAAACAGAAAGAATCGTTTCCTGACTAAACAGTAATAATTTTAACTGTCTTATGTTTTTTGAAGACGTCAATGAGTGCGAAGACAATCCTTGCGATGTAAATGCAAATTGCACCCATATTAATGGTTGGTATGAATGTAACTGTCACGAGGGATATCAAGGCAATGGCACCAGCTGTACAGGTACATCATATAAAAGAAACATGCAATTAGCTAAGTTAAGGGTTACCGAACTGGTCATAGTCAGCGAAAATGGTCAGATTCGACGTATCTCGTCGGCGGCAAAACGGCTAGCCGCGATTTTGAAATTTGTTCATTTCACCTGGAGGTGAATATAACAAAATAATTTGAAAATGGCTGCTAGCCGTTTTGTGGACGTTTCTTACAAAGAGATAAACGAACAAATGCAGTTCCTGTGTCAATTCATTTGTGCAAAAGTACTAAAACAAATGTTCGCCTTAGACTCGGTGATTATCGGGGAATATTCACCGAGACGAAGTCAAGATGAATATTCCTCGATGATCACCTTGCCTTCAGCGAATAATTTGGTTAATTATTATATACACAAGCTCTGAACATAAGCTAATGTTAAACCTGAAAGAGGCTGTACTAGGCAGATATTAGCTCATATCTGTCTAGAGTAGAGAAACGTAAACAAAAAGGCGGCAAGATTTGGGAAGTTAAGCGAAGATAAATTCTTTAAGTTTCCCTTGATACAAGTGCACCAAAGTGCACCGAAAGGGCGACAAACTTTGAAAGAAGAGTATTCAACGGTCCCGAGGTAAAAAAAACTATAGGTTTACAAAATATACGGCTTTGTTCTTGTTCTCTTGTATTAAAACGTTGGAAAAAAACACGATACTGGATTCAAATTATTCAATTTTTTTAAAAAAGGTAATTCACTATTGTTCAAATTACGGATGAATTTGAAAGTTGTTTTATCCAGCGCTGGCGTAAAATAATAAAACAGTTATTTTGCTCACTCTCAACGTATATGACTAATAGCTAACACGGCGCTGCGCGCCTCGTCAGTTATCAGCACATATATAGGACTCGAGTTCGCAGAATAACTTTTAAATATGGTATATTCGACATTGGTAATATAGAATAATACCGAAATATATGCCCCCTATCGAGTTGCTGCATTGTGGTTCAAAATGTAGCATCAGTTAGCCAGAATACTGCATTTATTAATTCGCTCCTCACATCAATTTACCAGAGACATGCAAGGAATTAAATTTCTGCTCAATTCGCAAAACGTCTAAATTCAGATTCAACAAGGGAAAATGAACAACTCATTTTGTTATTTGCGCTGAAATCTAAAGAAGCAACGCGGTATTAGCTTATTATTATTAACTATTTCAGTCTTTTTGTAGATATCAATGAATGCGAAACTAATCCTTGTGATGTCAATGCAAATTGTACAAATGTAGATGGTTCGTATGAATGTAACTGCCATGAGGGCTATGAAGGAAACGGCATAAATTGTACAGGTACATGCAGCTTTGAGATAAATTATGCCTTTAATTATGAAATATACATACATACCACTATAGTAATGGTGCCGAAAGTACTTTATTTACGAATTATTTTAGCTGGATAGCAGAAAAAAGAAAGATTGTTACCTTAATTACTAAGAGCTAAAATAATAATGTCCTATGTTTTTGAAGATGTCAATGAATGCAAAGAAAATCCTTGCGATGTAAATGCAAATTGCACCCATGTTGATGGATGGTATGAATGTAACTGTCACGAGGGATATGAAGGCAATGGCACCAGCTGTACAGGTACATCATATAAAAGAAACATGCGTTAAGGGTTACCGAATTGGTATTTTTCTTTAAATGAGTGGCGGACCCAGATTCACCTCAATCAAAACATTAGAAACGCAAAAAAATAAATACGAAATTCGAAAAAAATATATAAGACTATAGTCTATGGAAAAGTATACTGAGTAAACACGATAAAAATAGTGAAGGTCAAATATACCGGAATGTGGCATATTCGACTTTAGTAAAGTCAGATATACCTGAAGTATGGATGGTATACCTTAATTGGTATACCTTGGTAAAGTCGAATGTACCGGAATATGCATGGTATATTTCATCGATATTGGTAAAAAAGAATATGCCGAACTATATACCCCCCAGAGGTGCTGCAGTATTGTTCAATACATCGCATCAGTCAGCGAAAGACTAATGCTGCATGTATCCACCCCTGCATGACACCTAAAGAGATAGTACAGAATTATTAGCCAATAAAAATAACTAATTCACCTATCTCATATTTTTTAGATATCAATGAATGCGAAACAAATCCTTGTGATGTAAATGCAAATTGTACCAATGTAGATGGTTCGTATGAATGTACCTGCCACGAGGGCTACGAAGGCAATGGCGAAAATTGCACAGGTAAACATTGGAATTTCGCTTTAGACCAATCAGCAGTTTGTTTACATATTCAATAACCCAATCAGAATGCGTGAATGTTCAATACTTAGCTTGAAAAATGTGAAAAAATATATTATATACGAAACTCTTGCTAGTTTATATACGAGCAAAAGAAATCAGTTGCCAGGAAAAGAAATCGGTTGTCGATAAATATGACGGGGGGCATATTCATAAATTATATTCGTGTTGCATGTGCGTAACCAATTCCTTCCCAAAACTATTTATCTTTACAGTCTGTTAACTTGAATATACGAATATATACCCCCCTTATTACAGCTACTTGCTAGCCATTGTTAAACGTGATAAATTTATTGCATTTGTTTACATTTCAAACTTTCAAGTTTGACCGGAAAATGTTTAACCTCAAACTGTAAACCAATCAGGATAAGCAGTAACATTTTTTTTAAATGTCACAGCGTAACCAGTAGTTCTATCCATGCTGGCTACGCCTTATATTCACCCCCCCCCCCCCCCCCCTCAAGTATCGCATTTAGTTTCGTCCTTGTAGATATGTATGGCATGACTCTTTTCTCTTTTAGACATTGATGAATGTAATGGCGATAATGATTGCTCGTCAGACGCTGTTTGTCAGAATACCATCGGAAGTTATGAGTGTGTTTGCAATGCTGGATATAAAGGAAATGGAAAGCATTGCGGTTAGTCTCACTATTTACATATTTCTGTTTATTATATGTGTATAGAGATTTATGCACAGCAGAATGATGAAATAAAAATCGTATTTCACTGTGCAAATTAATTTCATGCAATTTGATTGGACGTACGATGTTTTTCACGTGTGAAAAAATGCCATACACGGCTTTGATTGGACGTACGATATTCTTCACACGTGAAAAATTGTCGTATGTCATTTTGGCGGCAATTTGTTTACATTTTCTTTCAAGATGGTGTCGAAATATAGGAGTGAGATTCAAAACATAATTCTCATATTCAAGATATTTTTACATTCAGCAGATTCTCAAATCTTTCGGAAAGAATGTCTAACCTCTATTGAACAAAATTACGAAGAAACTGAACGGTAATAAATCTGTTTTCATGCATAAAGTTTCGATTTTGTTGCTCGCTGTGTTTTTGTATATTAAAAGCGTGTCGTTATCAAATTGATCTCTATACACATTTTAATAAACAAATTACTTCATGGTTGGCTCGTTTGTACAATTTTCATTATGCACTCGTTGCGAAGGATCGCAAACTCACTCGTTCGCTACGCTCACTCGTTCGTATTGCGATCCTTCGCAACTCGTGCATAAAAATCGTACGCACTCGCTAACCATGAAGTAATCTCTATTTCTTGCTTGCTGTGTCAATAATTAATTTACTGTGGTAAGAAAAGAACTGTCCTTCTTTAAATCTTAATATAAAATTTCTATGAAAGAGGATTTTATCGGCAAATGGGATACTCATGCAGTGCATCGGATGCACCGGTGTACATCCGCCCTGTCATGCACATCCCTTGTCTTTGATCAACGTCCTGCTCCCTATTGAATTGTGGTCATGCAATTGTACATGCAGTGAGTTTTCACGCAATTGCAGTTAGATAATTTCCTGGACGCTCTCGATTAAATTTGCGATTATATCAAACGTGTCCCTAGCTTGCCCAATGCAATATTAAACTTGAGTTGGAGCATAATTATAGTGTTGAGCCGTAGCTAGACCACTTAATTGAGGCGGTATACATAATATTCATATGTTCATAGCTCTAGCTCAAAGAAGTCAGTAGAGCAAAAGACGAATTCTAGCTTCTAGCTATATACGTCCCTGGTGTAATATGAAAAACAGAAAACGTTAGGATCACACAACACCACCACATTTATTAACTGTTCATTTTAGCAAGCCAGTTATCTATAAGATGTGGGGCTTCAATATGACTTAGTACAATCCCCTTATTGAATAACATGTTTTACTTTATACTTTTAAGTACATAATTTTTCTATTATGTATAAATGGTATAGTATGCAGATATGTACTAACCGTCCAGGGGAGAAATAGTGCCACAGCCTTGAGCATATTCATATAATTTTTTCTTATTAATATATAATGTGTTGTATTTCTGCAGAGGATATAGATGAATGTACAGAGTCACCACAGAAATGCACTGGCCAAGATCAATCATGTACCAACTATCTAGGAACATACAACTGTTACTGTACAAATCCTCAGCAACAACTTATTCGTGGTGAATGTATTGGTATGTTTCCGGTGATCTTACATTGTTGAAAACTTCGGCTGTTAATATTATCTCTCTAACTCCAGATTATATACAGTACTAGTATTATTTTTTCAAAGAATGAACGTTTCAAAAAAATTTAGATTCAACTTCACAGACGAGATGAATAATAACAACCCAAAATTTGCAAAGAAGGGCTAACGTCACACGACAGAGAAAAAAAACATATTTTTCATTACTTTAATATTTCACTAACTTCCAGATGCATTGGGTATTTTTCATAGAAATAATAGACTGTCTATTATTTCTATGGTATTTTTCAAAGCCCTGTTATCGCATGATTTTGCTTAATATAGAATGGGTTCTGTTTTCACGTAATGAAAGTTTTAAAAAAGTACACTCGCTTTAGCAACTAACGATATGCAAAATTCGCAGCAAAACGCATCACGCATGCATATTAACGCAAGAATATTTATCACTATTCTCACAGGGTTAAAAAACGAATAATTATATTACCTCACTGCAAAAACCATTGCATTTAGTGAAGAATTCGTTCCGTTTCGTGTGAACGTAACCCGCGTATTATAATATGAAACCAGTGTGCTAACGATTTATCTTTGGGCCGGAATCAGAATTTCCGGGCTTTTACCATTTGCTTTGTAGACAGGAATTTCCGACTCCCGAAGGTAAAAAGCAAGTATACCCCCAAATTGTAATATTGCAATTACCTGGGGCCAGTTGTATAAAGGACTAGTTAACTTTTAACCGTAGGTTAAGGACAGGATTGGCCAATCAGAGTCGTGTATATCTGAAATAACTAGAATTTAACTATGCAAAATGTAAATCGATTATGATTTTTGGCACTTCACTCGATGTAGGTACATTCTAAAGGTTTAAAGGGTCTTAATTTCGAGTGGAATTATACACACTTCAAATTTAAGTCAGAATCCGTTGATGGAAAAATGAGTCAACTATAAGTCCTCAGTGGGAGCTAAAGTTGACTCATTTTTCCATCAACTGCATGTTCCTGGCTTGAATTTAAAGTGTGTATAATTCGAAATTAAGACCCTTTAAACCTCTGGAATTATGTAAAATGTAGTTAGAAGTTTTACACGACCGGGCACTGATTGATCCAAAACGAAATTTCTTTCTGTTATTTTAGACCTAATCAACTTTTCTTACATCCTTGTAATCTGTCGTTTTACTCAGATAATGAAGTCAGTTCAGTCCAAGGCCAATTGTTCATCATAAATCAACCATACGTTCCAGCCTTCGATGACACACAAAGCTCAGATTACATAACCTTTACTACGACATTAACATTTCAGGTTCGTTGTTGTAATCTGTTAATAAATAATGGCAAAAAAAGGAATATTACTGCAATTATGCAAAATCATACGTGTAGTTACAACTTGTATGATTTTGACAATGCACGACCTAACTCGGTTGATTACGTATTATATGCACTGATCTGAAATAAGACTGGATAACGCATCTATAGAAGGCAAAAGTAAAGCCGGAAGTGATCCGGCCGCCACCCGATTCAAAGGCCCCACTTTCGTATCATTTCATATAGACTTCTATTACAGAACCGTAGTTTTTGGCGTTTTTTGCCTTGTTCTCGTTTCTATCCGGGCCAATTTTACAATCACAAAAATAGAAGCATACGAGAAGAGATTTGTGCCAAAAATGTTATGAAGTCGAGATATTCCAAATTTTTTGCTCAAATTTATTCTCGTATGCTTCTATGTTTGTGATTGTAAAATTGGCCCGGATAGAGACGTGAACAAAGCAAAAACCGCAAAAAACTACTGTTCTGTTTTAGAAATCTACATTAAATGATACGAAAGTGAGCTCTTTGAATCGGGTGACAGCCGGATCACTTCCCGCTTCACTTTTGCCTTCTAAAGATGCGTTATCCAGTCTTTTTTTAGATCAGTAATTATAAATTATAACTATTTTCTGTAATCAAAAAAGGGCAAAAATACAATTTATTGAACTTCAGTACAATTATTTTTACCCTCTTCATTATAAATTTTTACAATTATATAACATTTAGATGAATAGATCTTAAATAAAATTGGCTGACAAATCTTCTGTTAATTTAGCTGACTAATCTCTACACGAGCACACCAAGACTACGCTTTACGTTCCATTCAATCATCATTTTACGATTATTGTAAGTGTCCGTTAAAAACTTTATAAACACCTTAGTCATTCTTCTGATTGGCTTCGATCAGCGGGCTAAAATATACTTCATTTAACTCTTTTCTTATAATGACGTGAAACGACAGAAGTCTGATGTTACACGAAATTTGATATCGAGAATTATCAGACTCTCCGTGTTTGACGTCATTATGGAAAAGGTCTATTATCGATAATTTTTGAGGTTTCTGCATGAGCCTACATTTTTTAGGCAAATCCAATCAGACTGTAAAATGGTGAATCATGCACCTTTTTTATCGGAGCTACTGAAAATTAATTTTTTGCACTCTGGTTGGTTTTCTGAAACTTCAAACAAATTTGCTGATTGCTAAAGCAAAACAACTCTATATATATGGGAAACCATGCAGTGCATTGTTACATCATATTTTGTTCTTACCTTTTACGAATTTAGCCCAGGATCAATTGGATTCGATTACGTGGCGATATTTAACGATACGAAAGGGATAAACAATGGAAATGTTCAGGAAGAATTGGCCAGTTCAATAAATGTCACCAATAATGGCACATTTCTTGGCAATGACTTCAAAATCAGCGAAGAAACAAATATGACAAAGTTGACAAACCTTCTAACCGTCCATGGTAAATGCTGTGTGTATCTGCATGAAATGCTGTGTGTATCTGCGGAGTTGACGCGCCATGCACTCACTTGTTGGGACCTTCGAGTGGCTGAATAACATTTATTTCTTTAAAAAAACAGCAGCAGGCGGAATCGTACCCTTTACTGTAATTTGATTATAGCTGTAGCAGTTTGCAGAACTTTACGATATCTTACCACGGTTCAAAATCATTTATGATCGAGCGAAGCCTATTTGTTCTGTTTCTCTATAGGTTATATTTACCAACTTTTAACTAATTTACATGCATTACTGAAAATATTAGACTTAATGAATATCACAATAAGTTTCATAAAGTTTAGTGAATTAAACGAATGAGGTTTTCATTTTTTTGTCAAATGATATATACCTAGTAAAATTATTTACCCTCGGTCTCAAAATCGTTCCACAGCCTGTGTCCTTGTGCAGCTTTCGGAAACTTAGGAAATATTTTTCTATGCGCACTTTGCATGGTAAATGACAGTAAATAACATGATGATCAGAAAATTTCCTACTTTTAAGTTATTACTCTTTGGCGATTCAAGTTAAAATATTATGGGTGAAATTTGTGTCAATATTTTTCTTCGCAGATTACGACGAATGCAATCCTGAAAATGTTGTTCATACGGTTCATTGTGGAAACAACGCAACATGTGTCAACACGAACACAAGTTATTACTGTGCCTGTAACCAGGGATTTGTAAAGAATGGCACTGCTTGTATAGGTAGGTGATAGTTCTACCATTTCCAGCAGCCTCTGTGTGAAAGCATATTAATCATCATTGTCTCAAAATGTTATATATCTAATAAAATACTCTCGGTTTAAAATATATTTAAATATATAGTAAATACATAATTATTAGCAATATTCATTGAAACTTTTCAGATGTTGATGAATGTCAGAACAAGACTCACAATTGTCATGAAAATGCTAAATGCATTAATATCGATGGCTCTTTCGCATGTCCTTGCAAATCTGGATACCGAGTGAATGGGACTTATTGTATTGGTTAGTTTAACATTTTAAGAATGTCTTGAACGACATTTCTGTCCTATATACGTCCGCGTTCTTTGTAATTTTCTCTAAACATAGGTGGTCTAATGATTTAACTTCTTAGATGTTGATGAATGTGTTGAAAAGAATCACAATTGCCACAGTAATGCTACATGCGAAAATGTTCATGGCTCCTTTGACTGTACCTGTAAATCTGGCTTTTTAGGCGAAGGAACTAATTGCAAAGGTTAGAGTATATGCCTCGGTTAGCGCCCGGTGACCTCGGCATCGTTTTTAATAAACACATTCCTATTTAAGATAAGTTTTACTTAGTACCACCAACTCCGGGAGAGCTGCTTAAATTTTTTAACAAGGAGTTTCCCTCTCTTACCACTGATAAAATGCTACCTTGCAAGTTGCACCCTACATCCATTCAACGATATAAAAGCGTTTCTTCAGGTCATATTTATTGTTTAAAGACAGTAAAAGGTTTTTAGGGATGAAACTTTAGAATATCAAAACCAATGTTATGGTTATCCACATTTTCTGACACATGGAATCGTAGATATTTTTTGCTTTTAAAACAACTTGAAACCTAACTGATTCAATTCTAAATATTATTCATTTTGAGATTTGAGAATGTTTACTAGACATGCAACTGTGTCACATTTTTCCAGACATCAATGAATGTCAATCGAATCCTTGCGATGTGAATGCAAACTGTACCAATTTTGATGGTGGATATAAATGTATTTGCCACAATGGATACGAGGGGAATGGCAGCGACTGCACAGGTATAATTTCAATTACCTTTAAGATTGTCCTAACGGAAACTTGCAAAAGAAATAGTACAAAATACCCTTGGCGTTAATTCAAACAAAATTATTTAATTTTTTTATATGTTAACTGTAGATATCAATGAGTGCTTGTCAAATCCTTGTGATGTAAATGCCAATTGTACGAACAACAATGGCTCTTATGAATGCACTTGCCACATGGGCTATGACGGAAATGGCATCAGCTGCAAAGGTACATTAATTATTTTGAAAATAATCGATTTAAAAAAAAAATGTAAAAAATTCTTCAATTATTTATTTCAATAATTTAACTGTGTTAAATCATCTGTAGAACTAAATGAATGCCACCCAAGTCCGTGTGATGTATATGCGAATTGTACCATTATCAATGGTGGATATGAATGTGCTTGCCAAAATGGCTATGAAGGGAACGGTACCAGTTGTACAGGTATACAAGCATTAGAAGGACTTATGATTTTATTGACAATATTTATGTAAATGCGCGTAAAAACTCAGCATTCCAATTTACTTAAAGATTGTCCCGATTATACCCTGAAAATTCATTTAACAATGTTTCAAATATTTGTAGATATGAATGAATGCCAATCAAATCCCTGTGATATAAATGCCAATTGTACCAACATTCATGGTTCCTATGAATGCACTTGCCACATGGGTTACGAAAAAAGTGGCGTTGGTTGTAAAGGTACACATTTTAAGCTAATTTAATTCATTAAATATATTATAATTTTTTTTTTAAAATAGTACTATAAAAAAACTCGCCAAGAAAATTAATTAATAACCTTAATTTTCTTGAAGAATTCTCTGTTTTCACGAACGTTCAACCAACACGTCAAATTATCCTAGTTTTCGAAGCCTCGATCATCTATACCAACAAAGGCAGCTATATTCATCTGCATAGCTTCAGAAAAACCAGACACAATCCGTTTAAATGTTTCACTCATTTGTTAATTGCAGACATCAATGAATGTCAATCACATCATTGCGATGTAAACGCAAATTGTACCAATACTGATGGATCATATGAATGTACCTGCAAAAAGGGATACGAAGGCAATGGCACAACTTGCGCAGGTATATTCTTGTAGCTGTTATGATGTCATTAAACTGTTATTAATTATTAGAACCTTTCTACGTTTTTAGTTCCAGGCCATTTAATAAGTATTGTAAATTAATGTTTCACAAAATAAAACTGTGTTATATATTTCTAGATATCAATGAATGCCCATCAAATCCGTGCGATGTGAACGCAAATTGTACCAATATGGATGGTGGATATGAATGTTCGTGCCGCAGTGGATACCAAGGGAACGGCACCAGCTGTACAGGTAGACAATGAAAGCAATTAAAATTTTAGTGACCATGAACTAAAGTTGGAAAAATAAAAAATACTTTGAAACCGAATGTTTCAATTGAATTAAAAAATTCCTTTCCTGCATGAAAAGAGCAATAAACACACGTGTGTACAAAATACTGTTACTTTAGTTTGAAGAACGTCACTGTGTTTATTCCCTGATAACTGATAAGTACATAAAATTCCCCTGAATTTCTTCAAAATCTTGCAATCAACCAATAAGTTCAACTAAATAATTTAATCAGAGAAATCATTTCCCTTTCACCATGCAAGTGGTAAAACGGTGCATCTCAGCAATAACTTCATTCCTGAATATTTGACATGAACACGCGAGAAAACCAATTAAACTGTGTTTCATTTTCTATTAGATATCAATGAATGCGGATCAAATCCCTGCGACGTAAATGCAAATTGTACAAACAATGATGGTTCGTATGAATGCACCTGCCATATGGGGTATGAAAGCAATGGCATCAGTTGTGCAGGTACACATTGGAAACAATGAATGATATTAGTGACAGCATTAATTATATAAAAACACATCAATGTCAATAAATATTTAATGAATTTTTAAGTCGTAAGTGTGTTGCATGTCTTTAGACATCAATGAATGCCAATCAAATCCATGTCATTTAAATGCAAGTTGCAACAATACCGATGGTGGGTATGAATGTGCTTGCTACAAAGGCTATGAGGGGAACGGTACCAGTTGTGCAGGTATACATTGGAAACTATTATAATGACAGTAATTAATAATAAGTGGAGAGGTTAAAACTAAAAGACCTAAAAACAAAATGATCCAATTGTTTTGCCTAACATTTACAACCAGATGACCAGGTTCGTCTTGCTTAGAAGTGTCAAATTAAATGCGCATATACCATATCACAAACCATCACATTTTGTTACAGATCTATTTGATTTTACTGGCAAATATCTATTACCATTTTAGCTGCCGTGAACCAAAAACAATCTAGATATTATTAGACTGATAATTAATTTAAAACAAGTTCAAATGTTTCGAATATTTGTAGATATCAATGAATGTCAATCAAACCCCTGTGATGTCAATGCCAATTGTACCAACATGCATGGTTCCTATGAATGCACTTGCCACATGGGGTATGAAAAAATTGGCGTTGGCTGTCAAGGTACACTTTCAAGCAAATATAATTCAAATATTTGAAATGCTATGATGAAGCACTTCGTTTGGAGTTATCATGCACAGCCTAAATATTTTTACTCTTGGGAGAAAAGATTCAAATAACTCGCTAAACTTCAATTCTTGCCAAGAATTCTTTGACAATCGTAACGGCAAATTGTCTCAATCTTTTACATGTCTTACAAGTTATTACTTGCCATTACTTCGGAAAAGCCCGATACAGCCAATGTAACTGCTTCATACATTTGTTAATTGTAGATATCAATGAATGTCAATCTAATCCTTGCAATGGAAACGCAAATTGTACCAATACTGATGGTGCATATGAATGTACCTGCAAAAAGGGATATGAAGGCAATGGAACAATTTGCGCAGGTATATTTTTGAAGCTGTTGTGATAACCCTGGGGCCGGTTGTTCAAAAGCAAGTTAACTATTCACTTAATTTTTTTTCATCGCTTGTTTCCGTGAGTATTTTCTGGTTCAATATAAAAGTCATATTTTGTAAAGTTTTGAGACGAATGGCGAAGCAGAAGCACGTAAACTACAGTAGTGTACAGAGATAACGTAACAAAGACGCGGTTGAACGCCGGGGCGATCGAGGTTTAACCTCTGTCGAACCTCGGTCGAAAGCATTCCGTTCGGAAGCGAATGGCAACCGCGATCGTATTTTTCCCCTAGCAGTCGTTTTCAGTTTCTATCGGTTGACCGCAACCAAACCGCGACAGAACCGCGGTGTATAGCCGCGACCGAACCGTAACCACAGTACTATGAAACAGCGGTGGATTAAAATTTGACCCTGGGTTAGCGATAACCTAGCTCTCAACAACTGACCGCTTGAAGTTTTTATTCATTTGAAAAAGTAAAGTAAATTTCTATATTGGACAAAATTGTAGAGATTTTCCACATTTCTATTTTCAGGCTTTTGAATGATATTGAAATTTTGATATTTTACAAGAGGCACATTAGCCAAAATTTAGCAGGCTTTCTTATATTAAGAAGCCAAATTTCGAAATCTTTACCAATCGTATCCTTGGCAAAGACAGTTTAAACTGTCTTTTAACAGAGCTATGTCTTTAAAACGAATAATTTCCTATCGCTGAAAAATTTCACAATCATATTTCTTTAAATACCTCACTGTGTGATATGTTTCTAGATATTAATGAATGCCAATCGAATCCTTGTGATGTAAATGCAAATTGCACCAATATTGGTGGTCGATATAAATGTTCTTGCCACAGCGGATATGAAGGTGACGGTGCAAGCTGTACAGGTACACAATAAAAGCAATTATGTTCTTAGAAATCGTATTACGTATTAATGATAAAATTATAAAAAAACGAAAAATGCTTAGAAACCGAATGACTAAATCGACTCAAAGATTGCTCTGCCTGAAAATAGCAATAAATATAGCTACTTGTGTGACAAAATACTGCTGACTTTAATTTAAACATTGTCACTGTGTATGTGTTCTAATAAGCACATTAAATTCCCTTCAGTTTCTTCAGAGAAGTCAACCAACGAGATTACTTTATTTTTATGTTTATGAAATTTACAATATCGTTCTATTTAGCCTCAGTTGTATTCAATGAAGAACCACTAAGCAGAAAAACGTTACATCTCAACAAAGTCCAAAGATGTCATTCCACAATAGCTCAAAAGACGAGAAAACCTATTCAACTCTGTTTTATTTTCTATTAGATATCAATGAATGCGAATCAAATCCCTGCGACGTAAATGCAAATTGTACAAATAATGATGGTTCGTATGAATGCACCTGCCACATGGGGTATGAAAGCAATGGCATCAGTTGTGCAGGTACACGTTGGAAAAGTGAATGATTTTAGTGGCAAAACTATTTATGTAAGAAAACATTAATGTAAACAAGTATTTAATTTTAAAATGTAACTATGATGCATCTCTGTAGACATCAATGAATGCCAGTCAAATCCATGTGATGCAAATGCGAATTGTACCAATATCGATGGTGGATATGAATGTGCTTGCTACAAAGGCTATGAAGGGAACGGTACCAGTTGTACAGGTATACATTGGAAACTACATATTATCATAAATTATTTAAAAATGACAATGTAATAATAAGTAAAAATATCAAAAGACCTAAAAACAGAATGTTTAATCCACTTGAAGTTTGTATTGCCTGAAACTTACAATTACCTGACCAGGTTCGACATGGACTGTAAAATAAATATATGCCATATCACGAACCATTAATTTTTATACTGTTAAAAAATCTATTGTTAGCTAATTCAGCCGCTTTGTAGCAGAAACATGCATCACTCATTTATCTATAGATATTATTACACTGACAATTAATATGTGTAGATATCGACGAATGCCAATCAAATCCCTGTGATGTTAATGCCAATTGTACCAACATTCGTGGTTCCTATGAATGTAATTGCCAAATGGGTTATGAAAAAAATGGCGTTGGCTGTAAAGGTACTTTTCAAGCATGCAAAATTAGTATAAGATTTAAAATATAACATTCATAGTACGCCCGTGCTGAATGGCCAAGAAACGTGTTTCTATAACTATATAGAAACACGGGATTTTGCCGCCGAGCTTGACAATCGAAGCGATGTATTGAGAATATGTAATTGGAATGGAATTAATATAATATTTGTATAAAATCTTTTTCCGTATCAATGAACAATGGAAACTTTGAAGACTTAGATGATAATGTATTAATAAGCGAAAATGCCAAAATACTTAAGGTGGCTCCCTACAATTTGAGAAAAAAAATTCCCAGATATAATAACCAACATTGCAACGGTCAGAAATTGACCAGAGATATTACGCCATTATCGTTTACCGTTGTTATGGTAACAAAGCCATGACGTTATCTTTATGGTCGAATTTCTGACTAAAAGAATTGTGGTTAATATATTTGCCCAATTTCGTTTCCCTTAGGAAGAAATCTCCTGACAAAAATTTAAATCCAAATAACGAGTTTTCCAAATTTCCAAAAACATAGGGACAGAATGTTTTGATTGATTTGAAGATTACCCTGTCTGAAACAATCAATTGGCCATGAACTATAACTTGTTTTTAAACTGTGAAATAAACATAGACTATGTCACTAATTTATAGTGGAAATATTTAATACAAAAATCTGTTATCATTTCAGGCACTGTTTAGCAGAAATATAGTTCACAATTTGAATTATTAATCACCACCCTGGTAATTACGTAATATAATAAAATGATGTTTTAAATATTTTGTAGATATCGATGAATGCCAATCAAATCCCTGTGATCTAAATGCCAATTGTGCCAACATGCATGGTTCCTATGAATGCACTTGCCACATGGGGTATGAAAAAATTGGCGCTGGCTGTAAAGGTACACTTTTCAAGCATGAATGTAATGGAAATATTATAATATTTTTACCGAATGATAATGACGAAATGCTTACGTTTTCAATTCGAACTGCAGTGTCTTACTAAAAGAACGTGCCAAACTTATATTCGCTCGATGAATTTACTGTCTGAACTTTCAATCAATTAAGTCAAACTATGGCAGCCCCATTACTCGCCATTGTGTCGGAGAGATTCGAGATACTCCATGTAAATATTTAACATATATTTGGTGATTGCAGATATCAATGAATGTCAATCTAATCCGTGCGATATAAACGGGTATTGTATCAATACTGATGGTGGATATATGTGTGCCTGCAACAGGGGATATCAAGGAAATGGCAGAACCTGTGCAGGTATATTTTTCTACGTGTTATGATAATTTTTAACCCTGAGGGAATAAGGATTACATCGCTTTGGAAAGAAAAATAAACTGCCATATTGGAGAGATTTCTAGAACTTTTCTACGTTTCCATTTTCCTACCTTTCACTGCTATTGAAAATCGATACTTCGCATGAGAGTTACATTAGCCAGAATATTGGCTTCATAGACTGTATTATTGAAGACACGATCCAATTATGTCGGATCCAATTCTTCTCTGATGGATGTTTTACAGTCTGTCAACTCGGAATTTATATAGGCAACAAATCAACTCAAACAAATGCAGTAATGCATTACAAATATTATTCCATATGTCAAAAGTGAATTCGATCTGACAAAATTGGATCGTGTGAACAGGCTTTTAAAGTGCTAAATTTTCGAAATCTTTACAAATGATATATCCTTTGGAAAGATCCTTCAAGCGTTGTCTTGTGCACACATGTGCTTTTAAAAGCGAATAATCAACGGTTCCTGTATACAGCGCATCTTATCAAATAATTTAAAATTATAGTAAAGTATATTAGAATTACATACGATAATTAAAAATTTTTAATGAAATTTCGAAAATTATAAAAAATTGATCTTTCTGATATTATTGGGTTTTATTGGTGAAAAAAAGTACATATTTTACATTGTTTCAGCACTATTCTGTAAATCCATAAATGTTTTTATCTCTTAGATATAGATGAGTGTAATATGCCACCGGGAGCATGTAGAGGAACAGGTCAAATGTGTACCAACTATCCTGGTGGACACAGCTGTAGCTGCATCAGTCCAAGACAACTGCTTAGCAATGGACAATGTGTTGGTATGTAAAGTATATATGCGTTTAGAGTCAGCCTTAAAGACTTTTAGGAGAAGAGAAAGCGAAAGAGAATTTTGCAGTGAGATTAGTGTAAAATCTTCAGGCTAACCAAATGCATATACATTTTAATGTATTTTTATATATCGGTGGCTACGGGATCGAGGTACAGTTGACCAGAGCGAGTGTAGTGCGTATTTAGGATGGTATTGCGAATAGGTGCATGAGACGAAATGTATTCAATCGATGTAGGATTAATAAAGGGTCTCAATTACGAGTATAATAACGACCATGGAGATGCATTTTTCAAACTTGCCGTTTATTTTGGACGTCTAAAATTTATTCGCAGGTGATTTTCCTAAAATTATTTATAAATTTCTTCCCTTTTTAATTTTTCACGGAAAAACGTCCATCACAGGCTACTGACTTCCTCCGCCGGTAATTGTCTGAAAACGATCGATTTGCCCAAAAAAATATTGGGCGCTAAAAGGCATGAAACTGCTATAGGAAACCATGCGAATACCCCTATTTTAAAGCTAGAACGTTGGTTATATATTTTATACTTTTGAGAGATGTACACTTGGCAACAACGAAACTTTTGTGTTTATTACACTTCATGCACTTTTCTTCCACAAGACTGTTCACTATTGCATCTTTTAGAAGTAGAATTGCATTGCAAGTTGAAAGAAAATTTGCACCGTGTAACAGGGCCTTTAGGAAGGCCGCTACAACTCAAAAACCACAACTAACTTTCGTAATTTTTTTCTTCAGATATTGTGGCGTCTATCCAAGGTCAATTGCGGATACAGAATCGTCAATTTCTCGTTGCCTACAATAACCAAGCGAGCTTTAAGTATTTCCAATTTACTGAGGAAATAAGTAATGCGGTAGGTGCCTGTCGATATATTTTTTTACATGCACATGCATCCACAAACGGTTTAATTTGTTTGCATTTTGAACTAAAATATTATTTTTATAAATTTAATATGCATAGCTATATATATGTAGGTGACTTTATATAGATCTATATAGTTAACAAAAGTGCATGAAACGACTCAAAATTGAGCCTCAAAAAATTTAAAACCTTTAATTTAACCAAATTTTAGCATGTTTTGTTGTTGGTGCCACCACTGAGTTTAGACAAACATAATATAACATCGTGCAAGTCGTGCAAACCTCTAGTTATATACTTATATATTTTAAATTTAGTTGGAAAATCTTTTCAAAAGAACAGAGACATTGGAATCTACGTTTAAAGCAATCACCATTAAACGATTATTGTAAGTCAACGTCATTGTATTATCATATACATACATTGATGAGTTCTTAATTCATGCAGAAAAATGATCGAAAAAAATTTATATCGTATCTCTATTGACAACAATTGGTCGTTTATGTTGCGTTCACATTTTTCCCTCTGGCAGGCTGATTTCAAAACAAAACCAAATCTGCTTTGTTGCAAAATACGTATTATCGTATAGAAATATAGCTCAGGTTGATATTATTTTTTCGGGTGTCTAACAATTACTCGCCGAAGGCGAAGTAAATATAACTGAATATTAGTCGAGGTTTTTCTTCCGTGCATGATATTTGCTTAGCCTAAGTTGAAAAATTGTTGTAGTATGGTTACAAAGGTGATCCAATTTTTGAAGGAACGAATCTTTGAAAAATACATTTTTTACAAAGTTAACGTAAATAAACTTTTAAAAAATTTTTCGGCAATTCGAATGAAACGATGTTTTACCAAAATAAAGTTACAGTCGTGCCAATAGAAGCTTCCGAAAAATGTTGACCAGTTCATTCCCTAACTTGAAGGAACACATCTGAACAATTCCTCAACCATTGGAAAAGTTCCTTAAAAAGTTTCTGACTTCCTGCTTCATTGAAAAATCAGATTACAAAAATAAAATATAAAATTTGATTAGTCAATGAAACAGGAAGTTCGGAAAATTTTAAAGAAATTTTTTAAATTGTCAAGGAATTGTTCAGATGTGTTCCTTCAAGCAAGAAAATGAACTGGTCAATATTTTTCAGAATGCTTCTGTTAATTGGCACGACTGTAAGCAACGTTCTATATGGTAGTTTTTAGGTCAATTGACTGCGTTCTTGCTATTAAGTATTTTCGTTAAAATGGCTTGTTTCTTCATCTGTCGCTTTGTCATGCAACACCACTCGCTTCTATTTTTAAAAATCCGCTTTCCTGATTATTTCGCGTAGTAGTCCGAGGACGCTCGACCAATCAGACACCAGAATGTTCAATGCACCTTAAGTTTGCCAGTAATTATGCTAAAATTTGATTATTTTAATTTTCTAGTGCGCATTATATGCGGACATAATTAAATTCTAATTCAGAGTCGTTATTATTACAGCAACGGATCCGTTGGTGTCGACTACGTCGCAGGATTTAGCAGCGCGACAGGATTGAGTAGTGAAAATATTCGAAATGAAATATCCAGGGCAGTAACCTTCTCAGAGAGTGGCGCGTATCTTGGTAACGACTTTAAAATCAGTGACAGCATCAATATCACTCAATTGCAAATGGAATTAGCAGAATTGTTCAAATTTACAGGTATACAACTGCAGTTACTTACATCAATAAACAGTGAAATGATAGGGAAAGACATTCACCTTTGCGGATGATTTGCATACAGCATTATTTGACATGCCTATGTAACGTGTCATCTGGTATATAATATCTGAGAAAATTAAAGCTTTAGAAGTGATGGTTTTTAAACTTTCTAAGAACGAAATACTCGCACTCTTTATTGAAATTAGATTCTTCTTAATGTATAATGGGAAGTAGCCATAATTATAATTTTGATGATTATATATTCAGTAGCGGAAGACGTGATTCATTTTATTCAAATTAGTTTCATTCACTCGCTCATAGAACCTAAAATACTTGCCCATGCAGTTGAGGCGCGCGGGCTTTGAAGAGTTTTTTTTGCCTCCGTGCAGTTTCCTGATTTTCTACCCATAAACCCATATACTCAATCGAAACAATCTATCTTTCGCTCTATATATCAATATTCATATCGCTTTACTTATACATCGTATTTTTAGCAGGAATATTATAGATATCAATTCTTCCTTGTTCTATATTAAAATGAATTGTTCCTCCACTATAGTCTCTTTGCCTTGTTTTGGATTAAAATGAATGTTTTCCCGCTATAGTTTTCTGCCTTGTTTTCGATATCAATGAATGTACCAAGCTATACAGGGTGTCTAAAAAAAACGCAACCACTTAATATTCTAAAATTCATATTGTTCATAAGCTCAAAAGATTTTATGCCCCTGGGATTTTAAAATGGCTTCTAATCGTACAGTTCAACTGCTAATAGTCAAATCAGCTAAACTAATAATGGTGCAGCTAACAACCGAACAACGAGTTTTTATTGTTGTGCATGATAACTTGAATGCTAACAGTCGACCTTGTAAAATAAATTGTAAATAAAATTTTACTCGTTAAATACTTTCAATTCAGCTCGTTGGTTTACGCACCCGACTTTGTTTACCGACGATTGTGCCGCTAGAATATGATTACAAGCTTTCTGGCTCGCATTCCAGGGGCCAAACGTCTTTTGTGTTGTAGAACCAAGAGGATATTCATGAATATTAAGTGTTGCGTGTTTTTTTTGTACACCCTGTACAGGGTGTATAAAAAAACTGCAACCTTAATAATTCCCAGGGGCCTACGATCATTTGTTATTGAATAGAAGCGAACATAAAATTATATGAATATTTTTATACATCTTGTAGTTTTTCATTAGTTCCGTCTTGTTTTACGGATTATACCACTTGTTTTAGATTACAATGAATGTGCCCAAGAGACTGTTTGTTGGGAAAACTCGAAATGCGTCAACACAAACACCAGCTATAACTGCGTGTGTGATGAGGGATTTGAACCTGTCAACGATGGAACTGGTTGTATTGGTAAGTAAAGGTAAATCAATAATGGTGATCCAAATTTCGCTGTAGGAGATTTTACACTATGCAATGGCTATTTCTTGTAAAACTGGTTTTTGTCATATCATTCGGTATAGCGCATAGATTTCTGTTCGTTTGTAATTCGATTTTCGTGTTGTCAGATTGCGACGCATTATAACATAATTATATCTAACATAAATAATGACATTACCTTTTATCTGATATCCAACTGATTCATTTCTTCAACTTTTTTGTTTCATTTAGCTGCGAATAAAGGTGGTAAGTATAGATTTCACTTAATTGTATTCTTAGTCGTAGAATATTCAAACTATATTTCCTTCGGTCTTCGGATCCTATAGTTATCCAAGAAATTATGTTTAAATAATTCAATGACACATTTTAGTTAAACTAAATATTATTATGAATGTTATGACTGTTATTATTAGCCAAATAATTACTGAATTCCATGATTGGTTGAAGGAAGTATGTACATATCGATGATCCCTTAAAAGAATTGTTAACAAATAATCATGCAATGTAGCTGGTATAAGTAGGGATTAACAGTACTCGTTTTGTTTTAAAATTTTACTAAAATTAATTTAGACTCAACGGCTTGGCGCGGCTTCTGCACTTTGGTAAAATTATCAAACATCACTCGAACTATAATTTTAACCTGAACCGTATCGCATGATTAACTATATTTGTAATAGTTTTACTGTATCTATATTATAGTTAGTAAAGACGATGTTAACGTTGTCAAGACACTGCTTGTAGCAATCATTGTATGGTTTACCTTGTGTTTTCTAATCACCTTAATCATGACTGTGATGGCGGTGTTTAGGTAAGACATAACTGACATACGTTTGTTTATACCATGCAGTGGGGTAGCCAACCTGAGGTTTTAACGGGGGTTTTCCATGCAGCAGGTGCTATTCTGCGCGCGAAGTGGAGCTTTTCGTTGCCTATAATGGAACTAATAAGAGAAAAACAAAGAAAATTCTGCTACGCGCGTAAAATTCATGCCGCCCAGTTGAAAGCCGGCTTCCACTATAGCGATTTTTTGCGCATAGCGAACTTATTCTTCCTTATTTGAGCGATTTGTTCCTGATGGTTGCAGTTGAGAGCTCTGAAACAAAAGTAAAGTCGGTTTTCCACTAGGCTGAGTTTTTCGTCTGATATTCTTTTTTACTGTCACAATTCGACCGTAGCGGATTCCTCTCACCGGTCACAATTAAGAGAAAATTTCGAGCGAAAAATTCCGTCAAGTGGAAAACCGGCTAAAAATGTCACTTCGCGCAAAATTTATCACTAAATAATAATCCATGCCTTTTCTTTAGCATTTGTAACTCCTTCCGCAGTGAGGCAAGTGCAGAGGAGTTTGGAAAAGATATGGAAGTCGTACCTGTCTCTATCACTACTCCTGCATACAAATCACATCTGGTAATTGATAGTTACTATGTAAACGAATAACCATCCAGTTGCACCAACACCATGCATTTACTAATTTTTTTTTTGCTTCACGAAGATGAAACATTTTCGAAGCTCTAATGAAAATTAATCTGTTTTTATATGCATGTATAAAGACGTATATGAAGACGACATAAATTATCTAAGCACGTATTACATAAGTTCCTGAAATATTTTTTATAATTTTAAAATGTTGCTATTTTGCATGGTATTTTAAGGGATGCACATGATAAAATCCGTTTTAACACACGAATATAATAATTATATTGCTTTTAAATGCGAGCCAATGCTATATCCACTTGTGTCGTTCAAAACAGTACTGATTTGTGGAATTATTCCCAAATTTTGCTACGAAGTTCTCAAATTTTGTCATATTTTTGTGAAAAGGAAGGCAAATTGGTAATGGGCCTTTCTAAATGATTCGAAGAAATTATACTTGTCAGATGATTTTCATACAATTTGGCTAATTCCAATCACTGTGACCAAAAGTGAAGAATTGACATTCGCTAATCTTACTAGATGAACAGCGATGGTTACGAAATCTAAACTATTTTTCTAAATTAAGAAGCGTATGAGTTCGTGAAAATTGGGCATGGCCGGATTGTGCCGTCGTAAAATCGGAAAAAGGTGCTCGCTAAAACTAGAAAGTTGCTCCCTAAAAAACAAAAAAGTTTCCCAAAAGTCTCGAAATATTAACAATTGCTACAAAAATTCAAAAATTTAAATAAAATTATTTCACTAGATCCTAAGTATTTAATTACAAATATTGGTAAGTTTGATATGGATATGTTGGACATCGTTAAACTGAACGCTAATTTATTTCATTATCTATTATATAGCGATCGCTGTCTATTAGCGATTAGGGTGATTAAAATCAGGATGCATAATTTGAAACAGCATTAGATTTTTTATTAGTTGAGTGTATTTTGATGGGAAAACGTTGAAAACATAAAAAAACTTTTTAGCGTACAACTCAAAATTTATCTATTTAATATTTATTATTTTGATTATGTTGCATAAGTCTTGCAAAACACTAAACGACAAGAGTTTTTTCAAGATATAAAGCGGCTATCACGGAATGTTATATATGTCATATTTTCACATCTCTCAAAACTAGATTTTTCTTTCAGTTGCATGAAAATTTGCAGTGTATTCAAGGCGTTAACTTGATATAATTGTTCCCATTGAGTTTTGAAGCGAAAGTATTTTTTTAAAATTTTATAATTCAAAAAGTATTCAATACTATATATGCTCATTGTAAAATTGGATGATTGGAATGTTACAAAGTTTTCTTTGAGGAATCCCAATGAACTTTTTCAAAAAAATTTTTTTAAAAAGTGCATTTATTGAGGTAAAATCTATTTCGAGTTAAAGTGAAAGGTTTTCCTGGGTGATGTCGTATTTGAATGCATCCAGATGACAACATGATTTTATCGAAACTTTCTGTTTAAGGCATTTTGTCGTAGGTAAAATGTTTTTATCGTATTAAATAGCAAAAGCGGAAAGCGATTGTTCAAATTCGGATATTATACACAAAGCATTCCAAAGTTTGTATCTGCTATAAAAAGAAATTCGAATCTAAAATTGCAGCAAAACTCACCCGTGTGAACTGTGTATCAATTCAAACTAAAATCACGATGGGCATCACAAAATAAAATAAAATCATTGGTAATAAACAACCAATGTAGAAGTCATACGGGAAGCTCGCTGTGAAATAATATGTTCTACTGTACATGGAAGAATTTCAAATTATTGAGGCCTAGATTAGACGTCGCATTTTAGTCGAATTTAACTCGTCGCATTTAATGCACTGAAGTGCGACGCCTTTTTTTCGACGGGAATGCGACGTCTAAACTGCTTTTAATCAACGCGGCACATTAAATTCGACGCTGTCGAATTTTGCGACAAGCTCTGTCGCATAATTCGACCTAAGCGCGACACCAGTTTAGACCGCAAATAAAACTGACTCGTATAAATTGCATACATTTGTTTTTTGTACCACATTATCCATTATGATCCAATCATTTTTGCTTCGTGGACTCCACGAAGCCTAAGTTATGCGTTCAGATGAAGTTTTTAAGGCTTTTGCATTTTGTTTTTTGTGATCTCTGTGCCCAAGGGGATAGAACTTGCTTTAGTCAGTGTATGTGGAAATGCTTACACACGTATTTTGCTCACAACGGCATAAACCTAACATAGCGAGCAAAGACGAATTTTGTAAATCTTGTGGCCTAGCTACAAAATACAGATATTTGATTGTAAGGACGTAGTCTGTAACCGTTCAGAGTGTTCTGTGTCAGAACTTGACGAAGAAACTGACGATTGGATTGAACATGTTTGCGTATCGTACTGCAACGATTGCTTTTTCACACCAAAACAACAACCGATCAAACAAATTGAAGGGGAAAGTGGAAATATCAATAACGGGAGAAGACGAATGTGGACATCTCTGAACATTTGGATGACATGGTTGACATCATTACCAACAGCGAACAGTTTAAGCGAACGCTGATATTTACAAATATCAAGACGGCCAAGAACGCCGATGTTTATCGGCTCGTTTTGCAAAAGATAAAGGAGAGACAGGCCTTATTTCCATTCAACAACAAGCAGGTCCGAAACAAGTTTAAATGGTGTTTTGGTACATGCAAGAAAGTGGCGCTGACTATCCAAACAAAATCTGGCATACAGCGATTCATTGAAGATAAAAGTTTGGGAAAATGGTTCGATGCTCTATTCCCATTGATAAAAAGTAGGGATTTGTGTTAGCCAGATCAAGCTGTTCAGCTATCAGCCTCAAGCAGCAAAAACCACATCCTCATGTTTCCAGAACACTTCAGAGGGTGATGTAGAAGAAAACGATTCTGAGAAAGATGACATACAGAAAAAAGATCGATCTAGGACAAATCTGTTTGTTCCGTCCAAAAAACGCAAAAGAATTAAAGAACGACGTGGCGGAGCAAGTCACAAAAGTTATGAATATTTTGGAGGCGATGGTAAAAATGATCCAACTAAGAAACTCCTCGCATTCATGAAGAAAGATGCTGAGAAATCCAGGCAAAGTAAGTGGGTATAGTAGTCACCTCGTGCTAGTCTGTAAAGGCAAATTGCCAATCTACAGGCTGGCGATATTGCTTGCTCCATTACGGTAGTTTTTGTCAAATGGTTCTGAGCTTTGCCATAAATCGTGATAACGATTAAACCGACTTTCAGAATAGTTTGCCCATACAAAATTCCACCAATTTCACCATTTTTTGGTTCTTTCGTGACGGCGACATTGCATGACGAATTCGAGTCTTTGTGGGCTTAATGAACATCATTGTAAGTAATGACAAATATAACTGAAGAATCTTGTTCCTTCTTGTTTTGATACTGGGCAATACTCGCAATTGCTTCTAGCGTCTTTCTCTTCTTATTTTCAAAATTTGCTTTAAAATATTTGACTTCGTTAAAGCCGCCATATTGCTTATGTAAATTAGTGTTAAATGCGACTAATAAATTCGACGTCTAAACTGAGCACGTCGAACGTCGCATTTACGTCGCACAAAACTGCTGTTAAATGCGACGAGTTAAATTCGACTAAAATGCGACGTCTAATCTAGGCCTGACGCATATAGCACCCATAATTAAAACCACGGGTAAGCGCTGGTGCTCGAGAAAATACAAAAAACGCATTCCTGTTAACAATTCTTGAATATGATTATAACACAGATTGAAACAGAGAGAAACATTCCTTCGTTTGCAAATAGTTTGCATGTGCCGGTATATTGTGGACCTTGTGAGTTATTGCATGATAATCTACGTAACAACCATCCGCGTAGAGATTGAGGTCAGTCGATCAGTATATTATTTTACCGAGTACAAGGAAATTTTTTCAAATGTAAATGCAGTTCGGGTTCAGTGAGTTTTCCGTAACTGGCGGTATATATTATTGATTCAAAACAAAAATTAAATTAACTCATCAGATTGTCAGCATAAAGATATCATCATACCTTATATCCACAGCATATAACAAGTACGAAAGGAAATTTAAAGAAGGTAACTTTTACTCCTGTATGGTATACAAACAACTATTACTCTGCTGTCTCTGCAATACCACAGCCCTCATTCATAGAAATGCAAATGTATTTGGACGAAAATAGTCAAATTTGCATCGTGTAATCATAAGCCCAGGTTGATCATTCTGAATTCCAATTTTGAAGGCAATTTTACCAAATAATTTCAGACTGCATTTCATGTGCTAGGCAGGTGCAAATAACGATAAACGTGAATTCAGATTTGTTGAAACAATGTAAAATACATGCAGTAATCTGTCTGTACTGAAATACAACTGACCACTCTGGTTTTTACCGTATAAATGAAAGCGCCCTCTTATTCTGTTGGAATAGAAGAATAGAGAACGTAGTAATGAAACTAACTACGCAACGTTACTTGTGGACAATGTTATTGTTAAGAAGAGATGGGACTGCGAAGGTTTGAGAGTTACGAAACACGAAGCTTTCGCGTGTAAGATCCTCTAATATGAATTTGAAAGGACAAGTATTTAGTGTTTGCAAGCAGCGGTAAAATTAATTCAACCGTTGTCGGTAGTCCGTTGTCAACATCTTAAACTCCCTATTGTTGGGATGACTGACACTAAGAACATTAAGCACAAAGCATTCACAACTGGTTTGTTATAAGAAGAAATTCAAACCCAAAATTACAACAAAAATAGCCAGTGCATGCGAAATGTTTTTAAAGTCCCATTCACATTGCGCACTATTTTAGGTTTGGTATATATACCTATGAAATTGGTTCCGATAAAAATTGAACCATCTATTTTAGGTAGTTCAAATGTCATCAATATCAATATTATTTGTACCAAAACTGAAAATGAACATATAAAATTATTACGAGTGAAATTTTATGCCGTAACTGTACTATATTTAGCATTTTAAAATGTCATCCGTGCAATTGTTTTGTATCCTACCACTACCTGTGTGTCATTTCAAACTTTAATCAATAAAACCATTGTCAGTAAATTATCAATATGAAATTCATAGGAAATGAAAGCTGAAATAATGAACATATTCTAGATGCCAGGGTTTAATGACCACATGCACAATTATAAAACCAGAGGTAGCTAGCTTATGCTCGAGAAAATACAGCTACCGATCTTACAGAACAATACTCTCTTGAATCTGATTGGCGATGTCAATGTTGTGACATTGTCATGCAGATATTGTGATATACGCTTCTAAAAAATTCGTGTAGCGATGGAAATACAGATGAGCAGATTAGATCGAAGAAGAAGTGAGCGGCTTTAACTATGCTACAGTTCAGGTTCAGAGGGTTTGCCATATTTGGCGGTATTATTGATTCATAATGGTAATTGCACTGAGTGGAGTGCAATTTGGTGTTCAATCAAGCACGTGATTACAAAATCGCACGACCGCGAAGCTGGAGTGTGATTTGTTATCACAAGTTTGATTTCACACCAAAATTGCACGACACGAAGTGCAATTTCCACTTTATTATAATTATTCATTTTGAAATCATACAAAAAATTAAACCAGTTCAAAACGATTTATTTGCTGAAGGAAACACAAACGGTGTAAAATGTAAGTAGCTAATTTTTATCTATTTATGTCAAGAAATTTTGCGGCGCATTTGAAAACTCAAAATAATAAAATTTTGTGCCATTTTCCCCTGTAATTTGATTAGATAGTTGACTCGCTGAA